TTTCTCATTATTTCTCATTTTTCATTCTTTCTGTACAATATATTAACACTTTGCACCTGTTCAGCACTTTCCTGTTAAGGCTCTAAAATTATCTGCAGACGAGTTAACTAATTCTCACAACAACCAGAGAGATTAAGATCAACTTTCTTCAAGTTTTTCTTTGGATTTCGGTGTCCAGCTCGTATCAGCTGGGCTTGATATGCGTCCCTGCAGCTGTGAGTGATGCATGCTTTTGAAAAAGCCCAAATTGGAGCACTCAAAATCTAAAGCTATTTATGAAAATCTTTACTTTTAGTAACTTGTTGAAGGTCACACGATAAGGGTACAGCAGAATTCAAAACGGGGAACAAAGCGTAAATTCCCTGGAGCACTGCATTCGGCTCCAGGGCCTCCAGCATAAGAAAGACATGGACCTGTTTGAGTGGGTTAGAGGAGGGCCACAATAACCATCAGAGGGCTGGAGCACCTCTGCTATAAAGTCAGGCTGGGAAAGCTGAAGTTACTTAACCCAAATAAAAAGAGAAGACTCTGAGGAGACCTTATAACTACTCTTCTAGTACTTAAAGGGGGCCTGCAGGAAAGAGGGGAATAGACTCTTTCTTAGGGAGCGTAGCAAAAGGACAGAGGGCAATGGTTTTAAACTAAAAGAAGGCAGATTTAGATTAGGGATTAGGAAGAAATTCTTCACTGCAAGGGTGGTGAGGCACCAGAACAGGTTGCCCAGAAAAGCTGTGGATGCTCCATCCATGGAGGTGTTCAAGGCCAGGTTGGATGTAGCTTTGGGCAACATGATCTAATGGAAGGTGTCCCTGCCCAGGGCAGGAGAGGTGAAACAGAATGATCTTTAAGGTCCCTTTCATTTTGTGATTCTATCAGACATAACACATTGTAACATACTTCTGACTTTGTAACCACAATCCCTTCTCTTTATACTTTACCCTCTACTGAACATTTCCAGCAATCTTTAGTGTTACACATTTACTCATATCCTGTATTTTGCTAGTAAGCTTTACAGTTGTGTCTTGAGTCATCAGTTATACACAGTATACAATGGCTTTGTGTGACTGCACTGAGCCTTAATTAAAAAAATCTTAAAAAGCAATGGGCATAGATTTTGAGTATTTAAAGAAATTTCAGAGCTTATAGTAAAAAATCTCACAAGGGATTGTCTTAAAACACCTCCATCACCAAACCTTATTTAAATGAAAGACTAAATATTAACTTGACATTGATACCTTCTTATCAGTAGTGCATTTGCATAGAGATTCTTCATAAAAACCTGCAAATTCACAATTATACCCTGCAAACATACAACTGTTCAAGCTAACAATACTTTTAAAATATTCATTTAGTTCATGGAAATGGTATCTTCAAGTCACCTCCTTCAGAAGATAATGACATGAAACACAGATGAAACTGTTTCATAGTTAGATTAACACTGAAAATTTCAAACAGACAAACATAATGCAAGTATTTCAACAGAAACAATACAAACTTTCACTGGCTTAAAAAAGATCTAAAGGAGAAGTCTTGGCTATTTCAGTGTATTGCTTTGCCTTACATTTAAAATGGTATATTTACAGAACTCTTCAGATGAATTAGGCTTCTACTATAAAACTAAATACTGGAATTCTGATAATTTGTGCAAGTATTAAAATATTAACATTTTAAATGTTAACATTACAATTTTAAATAGCCTTGCAAGTGCAATGTTACAAATATTTTTTAAAAAATCAGAGCTACAATTTTATATAAGTTATATGAGAAAATGAAAGTGCTTTTCAAGTATTCATGTTCATTTGCAGTTGGGTTCTCTTGTTAAGTCAGTGCTCAGTGGTACAATTTAAGTATAAATCTTGTTTCAGTTTTGGATGCATGAATTTAACTGGATGGAATAAATGAAATTTGAAGGAGTGTTTGTGCTCAATATTTCAAAATAGTATATAATTTGTGATAAATATTTCTGAATTGAATATTAAGAAAATGAAATACAGATTACTCCCTGGAGGCTCTGTAATAACCCAATAATGCTGTGGGAGCTCCTGAACCACAGAGTCATTGTAAATTCTGCTGATTTCTTAAATTATGATATGCTAAATGTTTGTTCTTTAGTAGAGGCAAAAACATGGGAACAAAATAAAGGCTCAATACTGTCAAGTTCTGAAGAATTTTTAAGATCCCATAATCTATGTCAAAAGCATGGTGTCTAAAGAAGGTTTTCTTACACTTTCAATTAGGCAGCACTTAGCTGAAGTCACTCAAGAGAACACAGCCAGTGTGCATCAGCCCTGTAGTGTCTATGCACAGTGTAGCTTCCTTTCTGGCTAGTTGAAAGTCATTATTATTGCAGTGACACAAATAAGACTGTATGCCTGTTTCCCAGCCATGGAAAGGTGAGCTAAGTGGGGAAATGCTTGTTTATTAAACAAAAAAAAACCAAACCAAACCAACCCTAAAATTAATCAATATGTATTTAAAAGTGCACTGAAAATATTTCATATTGAACCCTGTCTCTTGTAAGTGCCAGATTTTCATCTTAAATTATACCTGCTTTGAACACTGATCATCTGTAAGCTGATATTAGAGCATTTTGTTTGTCTTGCCATTTGAAAAGCACATGACACAAGGCAGCATTAATGTCCTTCATTAAAGATTTGGCAATGCCACAGATTTTTTCATGAAGATGCAGCTTAGAGATGACAGTCTGCAGGGTCTTCTCCAGAACTGTGTCATTACAAGCCTACTCCAACAAAGTGCTTTGTCATTTGCCAAAGACAAAAGTCAAACTGTTGCCCTACCTCACCACAGTGCTGCACTGGCAATCATAGTTTTCTTTCCAGGTGCAGTTGGACTTTAATAAATTATAGCTCTCCATATTTAAGCAATTCTTTGCAATAAAAGCAGGGTTTCATGCTCTGTCAAGACTGGCCATTATTTAGACTGGTCTCTTCATGCAGACCTGACAACGGCTGATGATGTTTTCTAGTTCTCCTGCTTTCAATGTCTGTGGCATAGGTTTCCTAAAAGAAAGAAAACATTTACTTTTTGTTGTTGTTGTTGTTAAAAACTAGGGAGAGGTGATGAAACTGTATATGGAATGAAGTTCAAAAAGGCTAACTTAAAGATCTGGCAGATGGGTCGGGACAATCCTAAGCAGAAATCCAGGCTGGGTAGAAAATAAATTGAGAGGAGCCCTGAGGAGGAGGACTTGAAGTTGTTGGTTGAGGAAAACCTCAATGTGACCTGGCGTCACGTGCTTGCAGGCCAGAAAGCCAACTGTAACAATGGCTACATCAAAGCAAGTGTGAACAGCAGGGTGAGGCAGGTGCTCATCTCCTTCTGCTCTGCCCTCTACAGACTCCACCTCAAGTTTTGGGTTCACCCCTGGGGATCCCAACAACATAAGGGCAAGGGTAAGGGCTTTAAAGTGAAAAATGGTAGATTTAGGTTAGATATAAGGAAGAAATTCTGCACTATGATGGCAGTGAGGCATCAGAACAGGTTGCTTACAGAAGACATGGATGCCCCATTCCTAGAAATGTTCAAGGCCAGGCTGGATAGGGCTTTGAGCAATCTGATGTAGTGGGAAGTGTCCTTACCCATGACAGGAGAGCTGGAACAAGATGGTCTTTATGGTCCCTTCCATGCCAAGCCATTCTATGACTATGAATCAGATGTTAGGTCTCTTTGTGTTATGGAATGACCATAAACCTGACAAATGGGGAGGTCTAATCTGATGGGAATTACTAGGGGAGACCTTGCTTGTTATGTAGGCAGTTAGTAGCTTCTAAGCCATCTGCAGCATGGATGCAGTGCACATAGGTGAAGGAAGTGGGGCTGGGGCTGCTGAGAAAGTACAGTTTACCTGAACATTCTTCTCGGATTTAGCGATGCCAACCAGAAGCTGTAGGAGTTTGTGTAGTAGTTGCACGTTCCCCTGCCATGGCACTCTATGAATGGGATGGCTCGAAATTCTTCTAGACAAGATCCAGGAGATGCCAATGCTTGACCAGAAGCTTCTGAGCCAGCACTTGTATACTGTAACAACCAATAATAACTTTTTTAAAGGAGAACTTTTACATCAGCTTTTAGTAAACTGCAGGCAAAGAAATCTCTGAAGTTTATCATATGTTCTGTGCCATATCTTGGACAAGACAAAAATTAGCATAGATTAGTTTTATCAGACTCACAATGAAGTACAGAAACTTTATGAAAATTCAAGCATAGTTATGCTATTTCTTAGTTCTTGCAAAGGTCTTTTTCTGCTCTAAGAAAAGCCATAAAAATGTAACAAGTACAATCACTATAAAGTAGCTGGCTTCCATCCATTTGAGGGCTACAGTAACTGAATTACAAATAAATTAAATTTTATCTTGTGTGCGCTCCCATTCAAATTTTTTGTTAAATTGATTCCTTCTCCAAACACACAAAAAAAATCAAAAAGGCAGCATTTTCATTCTCTGATGTTGGACAATCCTTGTAGAAAGTGCTCTAAAATAATTTTTGACAGAATATTTGCTGGAAAAATACATTTATATTTGATGATGTTTGAAAAGACTGTAATTTAGCCAGAAGCTGAGAATTTTTTTTTTTTTCCCAAAGATGTTTATTATAACTTAGGGCCAAATGACAGGAGCGACAACAAATTCCACACTAAAAGGACTTCCCATCATGCAACAAACAAACAAAACCAAACCAATCAGACCTTTCAAGAGAGATTTTTATTTCTGTCTCTTACCCTATTTGCTGGTATCCCTATGGTATGCCTCAGTCATGGATAACAAAGGTGAAGTGCCACTCCCCTGGTATAGATACACCCCTTATTCCCATTCTCAGTTCTCACCTTGCAAGCACATTATTAGCTTTCTTCACTAATATCTCGTTATGGCACCAAAATTGCTGAAGCAGTCCTTTGTAGAGAATGTACTGCATTTGTTTTGATTTTAGCTTTCTATGAAGCTTGCCCAAAGTTTGAATTATAAAAGAACTGCCAGGCATAGTAGCAGGTAGCTTATTTCTGTGCATCTGTGGTCAGGACTGCTTCAACCACTGCAGGACCCAAACCTGTCCTTCTAAGAGCTCAGCAGAACACCTGAGTGTGCAGTTATTTTTGTGAGACTAAAATCCAGTTGTTTTTCTTTAATTACTTCCCCCTTTCCTTCTGCCACTTTTTTCCTGACAGATCAGAATAGTTGTTTCTATGCTTTTGTCGTTAAGTAAGAGTTAATAGAATTATTGTCTCATTCAGGCAAAGAAAAAAATTAGCCATTATTAAGACACAAACATAGATGAAAATGCCACTGAAAGTGAGATGAAGGAAAATGAATATTGCCAGTGTTTTTATCTTTACCATAACAAAAGAAAAGCCCTTCCAGAGAGATATCCAGCCTCCTGGACATGCAGGAACTGCAGTTGTTTGGCTGTGAACTGCTATTACCATTGCAGGTCCTTCACAGACAATGCATCTGTAAGAAGAAGCACGCATGCCTTCAGCAGAATGAGGGAAAATATGTAAGCAGACCAAAAACTGCATCTGCTATGATACTAGCTACCCAAATCTAGGGCTCACTAGAAATATTGTACCTCACATACATTTCTGCTGTTGAATGAGGACATTAGTAAATTGAAGGTAATCCAAACACCCTTCTTGCAATATCTATTAGACAGAAGTTGGTAAAAGGTAAGAACTAATCCCAGAGCATTTGACCTTCCTAATACTGCCTTTACCAAAGTAACACACTGAATTTTACTTTCATCATGTGCTCATTATTTTATGTTGCTACGGTTTAGATCAAAGTTCTGTACCTTTATTTGCTAATATTAAATTTAAATTTAAACAATACTTTATTTCCTAAATGAAAAAAAAGTATGAAGCTGAGCTACTAGATTGCAACAATTGTGTAGAGCAGGCTAGAAGGAAGAGCTGAAAGCTTGCCTTCCTATTTTTTGTTTTCTTGCTCTTGGTCTTTTAAAGCTTTCCCCCTTAAGAGGTTCTTTATCTTTTTCAGGCATCCTAAAGCAACTGAAAAGGTTCACATTTATACGAGGGTGTTTTATAGCAGAGAACCTTCAGATCCAGTTTATAATGTTCTTCAACAACTACAGTAAATATATTATATGTAATTGGAAACAGAAATTGACTTGTACTGTATTACAAACACTGAAACTGTCATTGTGCCACCTTAGCCTGCTTCTAACACATATAACATTAGTATTAAAAAATATGTATGTATGTGCATATGTATATATACGTATCTATGTCATTACAAACAGTAGAACTGTATTCCCTTTTCTCAAGTCAGCTATACTAATTAAGCCTGTGGCAGTACTTTACCTATATTCTTAACTTTTCTAGAGTATCCTGAATATCTGATATATTCAGATGAGTAATTAAAAAAATAAAAAAAATCAAGCAATTATAAAAAGTGCTTCTATTTACTGAGATAAAGGTCCTTCTCTAAGATTTATTGTTCAAAATAACTTAAACTCTGTGTGGCTGCTGGCCAGAAAAACTAAAATTCTTGTACTCTTACCTGCTTATATGGGGCTCTAGTGCTTTACCAGAAATTGGTGCCATGTCTACTGGCATTGCTGTTGCAGTTGACAGCCAGTATGAATAGTCATTGCGAGAAGCAAAACTGCACACATCATTGGTGTTGCAGAATAAGAATGGCATGGTTGTAAATCTCTGCAAGCAGCTACCAGCTGTTCCTAAAGTACAGAAGAGAAAAATTTGTGACAAATAGGAGACTATATTCAGCATGACAAAGGAGACCAGTGAAAAATTTTAAAAAATTGATGACTATAAAGAGTTCAGTGTCTATACAGTGAAATTGCATGAAATCAAAATACTTATCACATAGATCAAAGTAAGTATTAAAAAATCAAGGGCCAAGAAAAAAATCTGTTAAAAATACTGTCTTACTGAGTGATATCAGTCCTTGACACAACGGCAGGGATTAAATACAAGCTTAGGGGGTCATTTCTGACACTCAATAGCATTCAATCTGGCACCCACAAAACATTGTGTTATCCTAAATCTTGTAATATTACTATCAGCCCTACACAGATACTACTGACATTTACAGCAGGCATCTATTCAGAAGTAACCAAATTGCTCCTGAAAAAAATGTATGGAGAGCAAAAGGAAGTATAGGAATACAGGAAGGAAAGTTGTCTTTCAAACTGTGATTACTGAAATTGACTCAGAGCAGCAGACCACTGATGGTTGAAGCCAATGTTCATCTCAGACACAACAAGTTTGGTTTCGTGAAGACAGCTTAGCATTACTGTACTCTACAGAAGGTGATATGAACATTTTACTAATATAGTACCGAGGTCTTGTCCATGTGCTCGTTCATTTCCTTGTACAAAAAGCAGTGAATAGCCAATGTAGATTTGTGATGTCCCAGGTGGGCATGAAGGAATCTTTGTTGATTGACTATGTCGAGTGAAGATAAAACCTCTTCTTGTTGGACCAGTGGTGGTAGTACCTGGTGATCCAGGCAATCCCTGTAGGCCAGGGAAGCCAATCAATCCAGGTTGCCCTGTGAAGGTGAAAAAAAATATTATCACGTTCTTCAAATTTCTACTTTACTTGAATTAGTGAAACCACTTGAAACTAAACAAAAAAAAAATTAAATTAAAAATGAATAACAGTTTTTACTAGATACATTAGTTCCTTTGGACCTAGCTCACATAGCTTTCCTTTTTGGACCTAGCTTTACTTTACATCAATTTGTGGCAAAGTGGAAACAACTTTTTTTTTTTTTTTTTAAAGTTTAAATTATTTTAATTTTATGGTGACTCAATAAAAATATTCAGTTTAAATATTCAAGTTGATGTCATGTAAAGGCATATTGATTTGAACAGATTTACAAGTAGGTGAGTAAATGTAGTTAGTAACAGAGGAGCACAGTCAAGGCACACTTTTATAAACGTTGTAAACTACTATTTCTGTAGTGAACATGAATCTGTTAAAAGTTAAGCGTGGGCTACTGCAACTGTTACAGAATCTCAATATATGCCAAAAGAAGACTTGATGAAAATTGGGAATACAGCTTATTTATAATTTCAGTAGTAGTCAAACAGATGTCTGCTTTCCTGTACCTCTTTGTCCTGGAAATCCCCTGTCTCCTTTTGGACCAGGCCGTCCTGGTTGACCTGGACGACCAAAACTTCCTGGTAGACCTTTTACTCCTTTAGGTCCTAAACAGTAATCAAGAAAAAGCAGATTAGTATAGCAGTATTATGAGAAACTTTAATAAATGCTAATAAATGAAGTTAAAATCCCTGTGTGAATGTAACTGTTAGAATAAAAACAGCAGCACAAAGTTCACAAACGTTGGGTCTGTCCATAGTATTACTATCAGCATATTTCACATCAGGAAGATAACAAGGAAGTACTGAATATATTTAGAAAAATATTATTTTCATAAAAACTTGTACATAAATCACCGCAAACAACTTTTACTTTTAGCATGTGTTAAACTATAGGAATATTTCAAAAACATAACAGGCCATAATCATGCCGTTCACAGTTCATAATACCATAAATAATGTAGTTCCTTTGTAAAACAAATTTAAGGAAGGTGTAAAAGAACAATTATTTAATGCCTGCTTTGTTATGCCAGAGGGAATTTTGTTATTCCTGAGTCAGTCATGCTTTCCAGCAGGTCCAAGACTCTGAGAAGTTCCCTCCTAGTGTGGAAAGCTGTGGTATGAGAACAGTGGTTGAGCAAACATCCACCTCATCCCACTTGCTTCTTGTTCCCACATTCCTCACAGCCATGGCAGGCTTCACTTCTGATAGAGAAACAGTCACCTTTACCTTCCCACCTCCAGACTGTGATAGATGCAATCACTTTGTAGTACACCTACAGTACTTGTTACCTGTGTTACTTCAGAAATGAGAAAAGCTCTTGAAAATGGTTCTGCACATACGAAAACAATGACTGTTTTGACTGAAGTTTTTTTTATACCATTTTTGTTGATTAGCCTTATATTGAGGGAAAAACTTGCACACACTTTGACTGCAGGTGTGCTGAGCAGATGGAATGGGCCAGGTTACAAACACAAGGTTGTTAACAAGGCAATAATAAAGATAACAAGAGCTATTTTTAAATTCTGAGAAGTATTTTAAAAAATTTAAATTTTCTATCCATCTGTATGTTTTCCTGCCAAACTGAAGTGTTCCATCATATGAGACACACAAACATGTTCAGAGATAAAATTATAAACTACCTTGTAGTCCAGGAATCCCTTGAATTCCTTGATCACCTGGTGTTCCTGGGATTCCTGGTAGTCCAGGAGGCCCCTTGCTCCCTGGGACAGAGAATATTCTCCCAGAGACACCAGGTGGACCTAGAAGAAAAATGTAATGAAGAACTCTTATGTTAAAAACAAGCAAAACAAAACAAAACAACAACAAAATCAAGCTAAGTTAGCTGGTATTAGAATAAAAGCTGTAACAATAGTTACCAGGTTGGCCTTTTGGTCCCCTTGGTCCTTCTGCCCCTTGTGGTCCAGGTGGTCCTTGATTACCCTTTTCTCCTGAAGAAAGAGATTGGAAATATGTTTTTTTTTTTTTTTTTTTTTTTTTTTTTTTTTCTGGTTTGAAAGGTCACATCAACTGTCAGACGTCCACCACCTCATTTATGAGTCTTGCGTGATCCATGCAACCTTTCTGAAGAGTAACACAGTCAGCAGCCTCATTTGAAATAGAAGCGTGCACTTCCACATGTCTTTTGTTACTCTGGAATTTATAGGCTAAGTGTGATCTGTTAATAATTTGTTTTCATATCCTTGTAATACAGTTCAACTCCCTTCCAATTGTCAGTTATATTGATGGCTGTTAGGAGGATTATGAAGTTCTTCAAAAGTTTGAAACTTAATTCCTTTCACAGTGTAAAATATGAGGTTACATCCAGAATATTCCCTAACAGTTCTGCTGTAAATAATAATAAAGGAAACCTTTTATTGAGCCAGGAGATAAGACTGACAATGTGAAGAAATGAGAAAATATAATTATTCTCTGTACAGTGATTTTTAAAATTAGAACCATAAACATAACATATACAGCATGGAACACAAAGCAGAAGGTTTAACAAATAAATGACAATTGTGTAGTATTTTGTATTAGGTAATTGAAAATGAACATATTGGAATGATGCAAGCCTAAATCAGATCCCCCCCCCCCCCACACACACAAAGTCTTAAAAGAATTCTTAGCCAGCAGCTTATCTGACTAACCCTTGGGAATATAAAATGAATAAGTCTAATACATTTTATAGTTTGTCTGCTGATAAACTGGTGAATGAGATCCTAATCGAGACTGTTCTATGGCAAGCAAACAACCTAGTGCTTTATATCATAATTATGATTAAATACTCTTGAGTTTATAGCTAAGAGGTTGCCAAAAATCACATCTTTTAGGGGTGGTGTGGCATTTCTAATTAGCAAATCCAGTTCCAATGTCCTTACACATCATTAGTAAGACAAATATTTTTAAGTTGCCTGAAATGGAGACAATTGAAGTCGTAGCCGTTCCTCACTTTAACAGCATTTTGAACATACTCAGAGCATCTAACTAAAAAAAAAAAAAAGCTCTCTTAGTGAATGCTTTCTTTCATAGCTGACATACATTCTGCTCTTGATGGAAAAACTCCATGTCTCTACGATCTGACCTGGTAGGTGCTATTAACACACACTGTTACAACACAATACGGAAATTTTTCTGTTTGTCACATAGAAGTGTACAGAATAAATACATGAATACCTTTTACACCTGGAAATCCAAGAAAGCCAGGATCCCCTCTAGCACCAGGATAACCTGGTCGACCTTCTACTCCCTGCAAATCAGATATCATCAATAATAAAGACAAAGCAACATCTCCATGCAATGAAGAACATTTCTTCTTTGTTCAAAAATATTTTAAGTGCTATGTACACAGAACATCCTACAACTAAAATAATTTGCTCAATTTTTCAGCATGTTAGAAACAGTCATATCATTGTTCATGTTATTCTGTAATACCTAATGGCCAAAGAAACAACATGTCAGAAATATTCAATGATTCCTTTTTGGTCTGCTTAATTCTATGGCAACTGTTTTTAATATCCATTTTAGTATCTTCATTACATATTTATTTCTTTCACTTTGGGTGTTATTTTCATGGTAAGAATGAAATTTACAATTGAAACACCGTTTTCAATGTTTTCAGTATAAAAGAAACATGTAGCATTCCTTTCACTGACTTTTGGACCTGGAGGACCACTGTCACCAGCTGGGCCCATTGGTCCTGGTATGCCATCTGCTCCTCTAACACCTTTGCTTCCTTTTATGCTCATAGTGGGAAGACCAGGCAGCCCTTGAAAACCAGGAATACCTGTACAGAAACAGAATATGTAAAAAGCACCACCAACACCATTTCACATACATTACAAACAATGCAGCTCTATAATGGTACTTAATGTTTATTGTCTCAGTGATTCCCAAGGAAATATGACCATTTATTAAAAAAAAAAATAAATGAATGAACGAATAACTAAAATTAATTTTTCTCTAGCCTCTTAATTTAATCTGAGATCAGACATGAGTTCTTGCGATCCTCTGTAGCACTACAGTGTTTTTTTTTTTTTTTATATCCTTCAGTTGTAGTTATGTCTAGAATAACATGCATGGTATCTCACTTCTTTGAAGTCAGATTTCAGACACCATACAGCTTGCAAAGGAAGAAAGCAAAATTGAGTGGAGGGTAAAACTTACATAATACTGCATGGACCATTCTGGTGTTTGCAGCTGTAACGCTGCATCAATTCGTAAAGGAACTACCTGTTTAATTATGAAGCTCTCTGGGGAATAATTCCCTCCAATCTTGAGTTTTGGACAGGCTGAATTCTGCTTTCAATTGTAAGTACATCATTTCAGATAAATAAGGAGTTATAACAATATACCTGGTCTTCCATCTGCACCAGGAATGCCTCTATTGCCTTTTGGGCCAGTAATTGCCATGCCCGTTGCTCCTTGAAATCCAGGTAATCCCATTAAGCCAGGAGGTCCAATGGGTCCTTGGTCACCCTGATGACCTTTCATACCTGGTGGCCCAGGAAAACCAGGCAGCCCCATGTCCCCTTTGACTCCTGTAGAGTATAAATAATACATTTGAGGAAAATTGGCATGATGGTGAGATGGTATGACAACTTTCAGAAATAGGACTACACAGAATATATGCATTTACCATACTGCAAAGGTGGAATTCAGCCTTTGGTTTTAGTATATGTATGTCCCCATTCCATCTTGCTACTGTAAAGCAAAATGGTTGCATGAAGGCACAACGCAAGGTAGTGTACACCCACTTTTCTTTCAAAACTTCACTTCAGAGTTTGCTCATACAAAGGAAGAAACTTGAAGAAAGGGTAGAAAGATCAGACTGGGGAATATTTCTTGATATAGCAGTAGAAGCAATGCTAGTTCAAACATCAGAACTGTCAAATCCTATTAAATTAAATTTCAGATAAAACCAAGAGCACAGTAACACTAGTTGATAGAGCAAATTCTCAGTTACACTATTTTTCAACACAGTCTCCACCATTAGTTGTACATTTTGCCAGTAATGAACAAGAGTCTGCATGCCAAGCTTGTAAAAATCTGCACCAGTGGAGCTGACCCACTGTTTCACAGCTGCTATGATGGCATCACTGGTGAGAAAATGTTGCCCACATCTTTCATCATCTTTCATCATCCTGACTGAATGGAAGTCAGAAGGCGCCAGATCTGGACCATATGGTGGGTGTGGTAGGACAGTGCAGCGAAGATTCGTAGTGTGTTCTGTGGTCTTCAAACTGGTATGGAGCCTAGCACTATCGCATTGGAGAAGATAGGTTGTATTCTTCTTTGGCCTGACTGTCTGGAAGTTCAAACCTTCAATTTAGTCAGCATTCTGATGTAGCAATCAGTTGATAGCTTGCCCAGGTTCCAGGAAATCCAGAAGTATACAAGCCCTCTCCTGTACCAAAAGTCAGTGCATATCAAGTTACCTTCCAGTTACCTGCTGATGGCTGCATTTTGAACTTTTCCTTTGAGGAGGAATTAACATATTGTCACTCTGTGGACTGCTGTTTTGACTCCAGCTTGCAACGGTAACACCACATCTCATTACCAGTAATGATGTAATTCAGGAAACTGTCACCTTCAGCCACACATTGGTTCAACAGATCCTGACAGAACTGCATACAATACAATAATGTTCTTCCCGTTCCTGTGTGAATGTTCATGGGACCGACCTGGAGCAAACTATGTGATATGCCATCATCATTTCCAACACACTGAATCTGATATTCAGCTTTTTACGGAGTTTCATGTCATAATCCACTGACTCGCAAGGATGAACGGATCAAGACACTATTCATTTCATGGTTTGACTGCTGTGCATGGCTGTTCAGAATGTGACTTGTCTTTCATGTCACTGTCACCACTGCTGAAACACACCACCCACCACCTCATTGCACTCACATCCACTGTTTGGTCTCCAGAAACATTCAGCAAACATAAATGAATGCCATCGGGTGCAATTTTTATTTGTATGGAGGAATTCAATTACACACATTTGCTTCATACACAATTCCACGTCAGACACCATTCTGCCAGATTGCCCCTCTGCTGCCATCTGTTGCATGGCAAGAAAGTTCAGTCTCTACAACTGTATCACCAACATCTGCCCCAATGTTGTGGGACAGCATAATAAAAGAAGAGGCATTACTTTCAGAGCAGCCCTTGTATGTGCCATTTTAAACATCTAAAAGCATCTTAAAAATGAAGACTCTAGTATGAAAAAAAGAAGCTCCTACTTTCTGGAAAAAAAAAACAAAAACAAAACCAACAACAAAAAACTCACCTCTACGACCAGGAACACCTTGAATGCCAGGGATTCCTCTCCCTGGTGCTCCTACAAAACATTAGGTCACATTATACTTAATAGACCAGAGTAATTGCTCAAAAATATCGCTGTCTAGCACTTCATATTTCACTTAAAAATTCACTGAATCAAAACATAGGTTTTCATTATATATCCAATAACTGATACTTTATATTTTGAATCGGTTCTATCCTGAAATACAAATGATATTTGTAAGCTTTTCTTTACAGTAGGAATTCTTATTTACCAGTTGTATATGACGCAGAGTCTATAATAAATAAAAGACAAAACTTATTTTCAAGTGGAAAAAGCCAAGTAACAATTTGCATTAGTTAAAAAGAAAAATAAAAGAACATACATAGTTATAAAAATGAAAATACTTTAACAGTGATTACTCAAAACTGAATATGAAAAAACACACAAATATCTAAAGTGCAGGTGTCAAAAGGATGGGGCCAGAATCTTTTGTCATGGCAACAAGCGCAGTTTGGAGCACAGGAAGTTCCATCTGAACATGAAGAAAAAATTGTTTACTTTGAGGTGACAGAGCACTGGAACAGGCTGCCCAGGAACTTCATTCTCTGGAAATATTCAAAACTTGCCAGGATGCTTTCCTGTTAACTTACTCTAGGGAATGTGCTTTAGCAGCACGATTGAACTGGATGATCTCCAGAGGTCCTGTCCAATCCCTACAAGTCTGTGATTCTGTGAAAAGGCTTATTAGGAATGCCTTCTCAGGATTTTATTTTATCTTTAAGATATTAATATATAAAAACATTTTGACTATAAAACATGAGAACATTTTGTCAGAATTCAGCACAGGATTATATCTATCTGTGGACACTGATGATATCAGGAATGACATTCAATTGAAAGCTTTTACACACTGATTTCTTTCATCCTTTTTGTGTGAAAGCTGAGACCCTTTCTTTAAAGGGATCTTGGTTCTCCTAGGTTTTCTCAGGTGAAACACGTAATAATCAATAACAGCAATACTTAGACTGTTGCAGGAATTAACATTTCAAGGGGAAATTATGACAAATCACATGCATAATAGATGAGTGACATGCATTTCATTAATAGCATGTACTACAATTACATAGAAAGTCAATAAATTATGTAAAATTAAAAGCCTTCTACCCATAAAGTCCTCTTTGGCTCCACAGAATTTTCTTATTAATCTTTCCATAAAAAATTCTTGTCAGTTTAGCTAGAGAAAAAAAGTAATTTTTAAAATATAACGCAAGTATTTCACTGCAGTTACCTGGTTCTCCCTTTACTCCTGGGGCACCCGGCATACCATCCTGACCCTGATTACCTCTTTCACCAGCAAGTCCATTTTCTCCAGGGTATCCAGCAGCACCTATGAATTAAAAAGGACAACAGTATCATTTTTACTTCTATTATTTTGCACAGAAAAGAGAGAAGGTCTCAATTTCTTTTATAAAAAAATTGTTAGTGCAGCTACCTCAAGGATAGAGGTAACCATCTTCTATATAAACATTTGTCAAAAGCAGAACATCTTTTGTTTTGAGTTCACTGGACTTCAGTGGATTTAGAACTGCCACAATTCCCACTACTAACATGGAATCTGTGGAAATCCATACAAAAAGCATGCTTTCTTTTCCTAGCTTTATTACAAAATCAAGTTTTCTGGGAGTAGATTCTGATCTTTGCTAAGTGCTGATAAGTCAGAACAACAAGAACAACACAATTTAGATGAAGATCTGCATATGAGAACATTCAATGCCCTTTTTTGAAGACAGGGACTGACACTGACTTTAGTGAAGTCTACATTACAAACTTCTTCTGCCACATACTTACACACTCCCCTTATACATTTTTTTAAATGGTTCAATATTTTCTGCTGCTCTGAGAAATGACTGCCATGCTCTCTTCCACCTCTTTCCTCACCACTTTACTTTCTCCTTCATGTCTAGCTATGTCTTAGTTTATTATTCTCTTTCAGCAGGTAAAACAAGCGTTTCCTACTATCTATGCTATCTATTGCCATCTAGATATCTATCTATAGGTATCTAATGATATCTATTGCTATCACATCTTGAGACTTTTGGAATGAAAAAAGAAAAAGAGCATCAAGGAAAAGGTTTCACAGTACAGAAGTGAAATTAAAACTTATTCCCTGAGCTGAACTGAGAACATTGAAAATAGGCTGTTAAAGAGCTCAGCTGAAATTGGAGAAGACAAACAAAGCCTCATACCAATATTAACAGAGAATGTAACTATATCAGGTAAATTCTAAAAGCTCATAATAATATCAACTGTCTCATTACAAAGAAAATAATAAACCAGAGGGCAGCAATTTGGGAGAGATGCTATATACCATACCAGGAGGACCTGTAACACCCTGTTGTCCTGGGTGGCCCTGCTGTCCTTTAACACCAACATCTCCAGGAAGTCCAAGTTTCCCTGTAAGAAAGAGTTTGGGAGAGTAAAAGAGGCTTGGAATTTAGTTAGCCTGGCTGTTAGCCTGGCTGTGCTGACTATAAAGGAGCTGCTGAGGTTTATGACAGCTGAATGTAAAAGTGCCACCCCACAGACACCCTGCATAGCTTATTCAGAAATTCTCTTCTAGTAGCATATCAGCATTTAATCCCTCTCCAAAACAAAACATACCTGGGTTTCCAGCAACTCCTGTTTCTCCTCTAAACCCGGGTAGTCCTGGTGCTCCTTTATGTCCTGGCTGACCTTGGGATCCTTTTTCTCCTTTCCTGCCCAAAGCCCCAGGAGCCCCTGGATCTCCCTAAGAAATAGCAGTTGCATACAAACAGGTTAAGAATGACATTACATTTTGTATTTGAAGAATAGAAAAATCATGCTTATTTTTAAACTTACAAATTAACTTCATTAGATGTTTTTTCATAGATTTTTTTCCACTTTCATTCTAACAGTTGCTCTTTTGATCCAAAAATACATTGTACACATAATGCACAGGTATACAAAATAGTAAAATGCACATTTTATCTTGAATTCCAATGGACTTGCAGAACAACAATCTCTTTCTTGATAACCCAGCTAATAAACTGATTATCTGGACAAATTACAGGAGGTATAGTATAGCTTACATCATCAACCACATCTTTTGGTTAATCTCACATGTAAAGATTCACAATTGTTCAACAAACAAAACATGGGAAGCAAAATTGCATCCACTTGGTGTAACTCATATTTAACAGTACGTATTGCTAAAAAAAAAAAAAAAAAAATGGTATCAACAGGTTTTCAAAAACCAAGATAGTTTTAGAGTACATAATTTTTTCATTTTCTAAGACTATTTCTCTGCAATTCTTGTTTTTCAACAGGATTTTCGTATGTATCATCATAAGCATATAATCTACTTATCTCCTGAAAATTTTACAACTCTTGCTTACACATTTTTCTGTTCCTGTTGTCAAGGGCTCTGCTTTTTGTTTAATATGACAATGTTTCTACTGCTTCTATACCTTTGGACCAGGTTCTCCTGGGAGTCCAGGAGATGGGTGCCCAGGGTCTCCTTTTTCACCTGGAAAGCCACCATAGCCTGTTGGACCAGGGTCACCTGAAGTTCCTGGAAAGCCTGGAGATCCCTTCTGCCCTTTTTGACCTGGAAATATACAGATAATAACAGCATTCTTAAAAGGATCATAATCACATATCACATTTCATGCTTTGGTAACTACTGCTTGTATATTCAGATATTCATTCTTTATCAGAAATAAAGTATTTTGTACAATTACTGATCTTAATCACTACCAAACATGCTAAAAAAAAAGTTTGTTACATTTAACAGTATATGAATTAAATAATTTGTATTTAATTCATTATTTCTAATTCCAATAGTTGAAACTTGTAAGTCTTATGACCACTAGCCAGACATTTGGTTACAAAACCAGATTAGGCCACTATTACCATGAGCTGAATAATTAATGCCCTGAAATTATTATTTAAGAAGGTATTATAAAGCTATAGACAGAGATAGTCAGTTACAATACATTAACATCCCACTCTAAAATTCAAGAAAGAGAACTCCTTTCTGTAATTCAGGCAAATGCTGGGGTATTTGAAGTCTACAAATACTGCAGAGAATAAACCTCAACTTGAGTAAGTATTGTCTGCGTGCTTACAGTAACTGCTCAGATCTGCGCGAATACTTCTGTACAGTTCTACCAATTTTCAACATGACTTAAGAGAAAATAACCTGGAATTCCCATGTTCCCTTTGTTTCCTGGTGCACCAGGAAATCCTTGTCCTCCAGGAATCCCTGGAAGACCCATAAATCCTTTGACACCTGCAAGATGAAAAAATAAGTGTTATCTTCACAGGCCCTACTTAGATGCTAACTGTCTAGTAGAACTGAGATTAATACAGAGTCTTTTACTGCACACATTGCATGGTATCTTACCATTTTATAAATCAACAAACAGTGAATTTTAATTCTTCCTACTACTCTGGAAGCACATAAAATTACCAATATTGTTATCAAAGAAAAAAACTCAAATATCTTAAATATCGACACTGACATATTAAGGTTTGTGACTCATCACAGCATTTTGGATTGGCAACTGAACCTTTGAACATTTTATCAAGATCAGTAATCTCTGTTCACGTGTTGGACTTTCCTTCCATGGTTCACATGAGTTCAGACTGATTTCTGGGTGTGTCACAATCACTTTAGATTAATTTAGCTAAATTAACATTCGGTCTAACAATTGCAAAGTAGAGGTTCATCTAGAATGCCCAAATGTCTAAATTCCAGGGTATTAGTAATCTCTGAATATTTAAGCATGCCGGGTCTGATTTTCTCCCATAAAAAGTCAGAGAGTACTAAAGTATTTGCAGCTTTTCATGTGATGGCTACACTGCAACAACTACAAAGGACATATCAGTGATGATACTGGTTAATCTCATCATGACAGGAGCTGTTTTAATTACAAGACTAAAATTATTTCTCATTTCGTAATTGTCAAAATTTCTATGCATCTAATTACAGTATTGCTATTTCTAGAAATAAATTATCTTAAAGAACCAAAAATACACAGAAGTAAAATTTTCTATTAGCATTATTTTAGAAAAAAAACCCACCATATTCATTTCTCACTCAAGGTCAACGTGTATCATTATGTATGAGGGCCTGGTGATGTCAGAGCAAACTGTGAAAGATAGGTTTATAATTTACACTGAATTTTTTTTAAGACTTATTTTCACTGAAGACCCAGCAACTTTCAAAATAATATTATCTTACCCTTCATGTGACATGGTAATTTTCAACATACGTACTCCATACCTGGTACACCAGGTACTCCTTCAGATCCAGTAAGACCTGGGGGACCTTGGACACCTGCATCTCCTTTTTCTCCTTTTAGGCCCATTCTTCCTTGGACTCCTAAAATGGTTTCATTAAAAAAAAAATTGCAAAACAGCATTTTAGAATGTGAGTTTTCTAACTCTTATAAAATAATGAAACTGCAATGGAGTAAAATACGTTATTGACAAACACAAGCAAGAGACAAGCTCACAGTCCATGCCTTCTCTATTTCCCAGATGGAGACAAAAGGAAGTTTCTGAAATCTACCACATGAAAAGGTCTACAGCCAGACAGCATTAGTTGAGCATGCACAACTCATATGTCGAGTCTCTACTAATATTACATAGAAAATAAATCCTCTGACAGTCAAATGTATCTAAGCAGAGTCAACTCCTTTACGATATGGTATTCAGCTGGTAAGCATACTTGTTTCTGCTCAAAGGCTACTATGTGTGTAAAGACACACAGGATTTATTTATATAAACCTCTTACAATCACTTTGTATTACTGATTTAACATTACAATGTGAGGATTATTAAGGATGGACTTGTTAAAATGAAGATAAATATTCAATGTAATATCCAGCTATCTCACAAGAAAAGGCAGTTAGAGTGTTCGGCGATAATCATTAGAAAGCTGTGTGAATACTTTGAGTAGTAAAGTTACTGTCTTCCATATGTCAGAATCCACTGAAACTGCAACATAGACAACCCTAACTAGTTTTGAATGATGAAAAAGTGAATGTGTACCTTTTGAGCCTTGTTCTCCTTTATTTCCAATCACAACCAAGGTTTCAGATGGTCCAGGAAAACCTTTGTCACCTGGTTCACCTTGTGCTCCAGGAAACCCTTTTCTTCCTTTTAGCCCTGGGGAGCCGAAAGAACCTGAAAGAAAATATATTTTCTAAAGATAATATATTGAACATGAATGAGACAGAAAAAGCAGAAACAAAAATAAAAACAGAGCAAGAAGTTCTGTAGCAAATCATTAACCATTTTTACAAATACCAGTGAAGTAGGAAAGGTGACAATTCAGTACTGCTAAAAAGAAAACACTATTGTTCTGTTGGTAGACTGCAAGGATCCAGAAGTCAAAGACTTACAAAGACATGAAGAAATTCTGGTTAAGCTCCTGTATTCTTAAGGAATAATGAAGGCACGTAATTTTGTCACTTGCCTCTGATACCAGGGTTGCCTGGACTTCCAATCCTGCCAGGGGGTCCAGGAATTCCTAATGGGCCCATTATACCTGGCTCTCCTCTAGGGCCTGTGGAAATGAAACAATAGAAATGTATTTATTAATACTGATCAGGAACACAGAACATTACTTTAGAAAGTTATGCATGTGTCTGCAATTTAAATGGTTGATTGATTCTTTTAATCTTTTCTCCATTTCTAGAACATAACCGTAGAAGCAAGTTCACCAGCTTTTAACAACTGAAACAGCACTTACATACACATCAACCTGGGTAGTTTGAGGGCTTACTATCAGCTGCAATAACTTCTACCAATTAATGAAATAATTGAGAGTGACTGTAATATACCTGATATCTGTATTGGGCTGTGACATCTGGTCACAGGATGTGTGGTAAAGACATTCCTTTCTGGTTCAGGAGCTGGGAGCCAGCCAGGACATGACAGCTTATCTCAAATAATATTAGAAGTCCAGGTTTGCCCTGTATGTTCATCATTATTTTTACAGTTGTATATATGAAAATGTATGTACCATCTCCTTGCAACAGTATAACAAAGGATTTAAGAGTACCGAAAAATCTTTGTTAAAAAAGCTGCATTATATACGTGATTTCTTTTATTCTACATACCAAGTACAAACATATTTCTGAAAAAAATAACCCAACTAAACAACTCACCCTATAAGGATTACCTACTTAAGTCAGCTCTGTGACAGTTTGAGTCATAACTCTGAGAGACTCAAAACCTGAGCTAAACCTAAAAGGTAGCATTAATAAGCTATAAGCATTTTAAGCTAAGCATAAAACCTAAAAAGGTAGCATTAATAAGCTATCCATTTGAAAAGGGATGCTGAGTAAGAGCTATTACATTCTTTACACTTTCATTACGCTGGGAAGACTCTGAATGTTAAGTAGCTAGTGTTCTGTTTCAGACATTGCCATACAGAAAACAATGTGAAGTAACCTATTCTCTAAAGAGCGCTGTAGAAAATTTGGTACCAGTTCATAACAGCTTCTAGATATCCTAATCGTTAAGAAAATGATAATTGATTTGCCTTCCACATAAGATCATACAGGTCTGTATATGAAAACTGCTAATGTAAACTATTTCTGTATTTTCAACTTAGAATTAATTACATGTCACCATGACTGAAATCTTTTTGCAGAGACTGACTAGCTTTCTGTCAAAACATGTATTTGCAGAGACCTTACCTGGCACACCGAAGACTCCTGGCCTTCCAGACTGTCCCTTGAGACCAGGTAATCCTGTGTTTCCCAGGAGACCTATTAATCCAGGTTCCCCAGGCTTTCCATCAATTCCTGGGATACCCAAACCAGGAGGACCTAGTTTGCCTTTTGAACCTAATGAACCTCTTCTTCCTAAGAAAAAATGCATGATGGTGTAAGGTATGTCTTACTGGAAAATTAACCTTCATGCCATCGAAAGTACAGAGCTCTTCTTGAACTCTAACAACTATACAGAAGATATATATGTGAAAACACACAGGATATATTAGACAAACATAAAATACCAATTCTACATTCATCCTCCAAAAACAGTGGGGAGTGATTTCCCACCATGACGAAAAACAATTTTTGAGTTCACATACAGGAGAATAACTGAGCTGAGTGTCTGAGTGTGTTTCTCTTGGAATGGAAATCATACACAGTAGATGCAGATGCTCTGAGTCTCTGAACTGGTTTTCCCTACAGTTGAGACTCTTCCTCTGTTTTGCTTCTTTATCAACAACATTGCACGAAGTTCAATCCCATATGAGACAGAAGAGTGAAACAGACTTTTACCTGTGAAATTTGCATTAGTTCATGATCACTTTTCGGACTATATAATGCAATCTGACTCTTAATCTATCTTAGTCAGTTGTGTGCTTCCTCTAATCTGCAGATAGTAATTCTTTTTAAATGAGATCTCATTTTCTTGCAGATTATCTCATAATCAATATCCATAAACAACTTCAGGTCCCTCAGGACATTGGCAGGCAGAAATAAAACCCAGAACCACTCAGCCAAAAAGTTTGATTTGAAGCACCTTACCTGGTGGGCCAGTAGCTCCCTGGGCACCTGGCAAACCTGGCAGGCCAATAAGACATTCAGCAGGCTTCCCTGGAAAACCTGGATCCCCAGGAACACCAGATGAGCCTGGATCTCCTAAAAGAAAGGAGACTGTTATCACAACAATTTAGATAGTAGCTTGAAGCTTTCAGTGAACACTGAAACATGTGACTTGGCTTCCCTTTCCTTAAAATATGGATGTAACTTGTTGTATTCCTCATGCTCATTTGACCACAGTACCTCTTAGGCCACTATTGCCATCACGTCCAGCATGCCCTGGTAAGCCTGGAAGTCCTGGAAATCCAGTATCACCTTTTGGGCCAGGAATGCCACGACCTCCTGGTGAACCTAGTTTGCCTGGCTCTCCAGGAATAATCATGCCTGGGTCACCCTGCAACACAGAAATATGGACAATCACTGTGTACTGCACTTTGCAAATCTGCCAAAATATTTTCCTCACTCTGATCAGCTAGATATTTTTTTATTATTATTAATCGTTATTTTTTCTTGGGGATTTTTCACTTTACCATATATATTGTCTCCAATCAGTAGAATACTGGATATTTCTTATTGACCAGCTGCAGATTCCATACCAATATATTAATTTGTCTAAATAGCTTTTGAACTCTTATCTCTTACCTCTAAGAAATTGCTACTAAGCATAAAAAGGCAATTTCCTCTGTTTGGCTGTTACTGCGTTATGATGCTTGCTTTATCTGAAAAATGTTGGACCTACATCTGAATATAATTTTTTTCCTTTATTTTACATGTCAGTCATTTTTTCATTAGGATATTTATTTAAGTAATCAAAATCAGCACCTAAAACATTCACAATATTCACGGTTTTCTTCTTTTCCCCTTGTAATTCTTCTGAACATTGTTTTCCATGAATACTGCTTTTTTATGACAAACGTGTCAACTCTCTTCCCTGAAAGGAAAAGTTGAACTGTTTGTTCTTACTGGCTGACCAAAGTGCTGGCTGTTAGGGTTATGAGCAAACCAGTATGTTCCTAAAGCTCATAAGCAGAACTGAGTGTATACAAGCCACTGATTACATATTTGGATCAGAAAGATCACTTTAAATAAGTTGTTCTGTGGTATGAAGCCCAGCATAAATAATAATTAAACAAACAAACAGAAATAATTTAAACCCTCATTCTTTCTCATATTAAAAAAACAAACAAACAACAACAACAAAAAAACCATAAAAGACTGTTATATCAACACACACAAAAGAAGAAATGCTATCTTTTCAAAACAGTGAAGTGTTATTATTTTGTTCACATTTGGATCCTGATTACAGATTAGTCAAGTGTCCTACAATTACATATGCCATCATATATTTCTGAATAGCCATCTTTTCAGAAGCTGTGGCACTTATTATTTATTTTGCTGAAAGCAATGCAATAACCTTACTGTGCTCTGAAAACAGAAGTACCGAAACATCCCAAACATCTGGAGATCTGAAATCCTGCAGCTTTCGTTAAAATTTTACTTTACATCTCTCTTAGAAGAGATTTCATTTGATCAATTGTGCATCACAGGTTACTAAATACAGGAGTTCTTATTTTCCTTACACTTCCTAATTTATTTGTGCAGTGTCACATTTAACGAATGGGACCTATGGAAAAGGCTGTGCTGTATTTCTACTCGAACCTTTTCTCCTGGTTGTCCTAGATTTCCAGCCCGGCCTGGCTCTCCAATCTTTCCTTCACAACCTGGTGCCCCTCTGCTTCCAGGAAGTCCTTTATCTCCTGCAAATGAAATGAAATGTCAGTACAAATGCTGTGTTTATCAACTTATTTTACAAATGAGTATTTGTATGTATGCCGTTAAGCATTTCTTTCACTAAGTTACACCCCAACATGCATCTGCCACACAGTTTTATTCACTAAGTATTCACTCGGTACTCATTGTAACACTGCTCAGTTACTCGTTTCAAGCATTAAGTAAGTGCCTGGTGTGAACCCATTGGGGCGCCAGTTCCCACTATTCTCTTCAACAAGCTACATTGTAGTAATTTTAATATCAGAGCTTTCTACTTTTTGTTTGTATGTTTCCTGACGGGACTACGAGAGCAGTTCATAATATTTCTAGTATCCAAAGGCATATAATAAAGAGGGGCGTGACTGCGCACAAGGAGGGGCCAAATTCATGGTATTCAAAATGCTTTCTATTTCTTCCAGAACAGACCAGATACAACACTGTACTGAATCAACACTGATTAAAATTAAAGTACTGCTACTTTTTCAACTCTATAACACACATGCAGGTAAACAGAAGCCATCTGAAGTGACTGTGGCACTCAGAACTATTTACTAGGCCAATAATCCAGGAATCATCAATTCTTTAGAATCATCTTTTAAAATATCTTCCTACTGACAGCTTTAATACATCTCTGAAATACTTCAAATTTGCAATCTGAAGGCAGTGTTGCAACTACTGCAACTTGAAGGCAGTAAATTACAGGAGTGCTAAAAATCACCTAACGTTCATTCATTTTTTTAAAAATCTATTTCAAGTCAGATTTAACTTTTTTCACCATTTACCTTTTTTCTGTTTGTTTCTTTGTGTGTGTGTGTGTGTGTGTGTGTGTGTGTTTGTTTGTTTTTTAGTGTTTTTTTTTTTATTATTGTTGTTGTTGTTGGTTTTAAGATCAAAAAATGTGTTTTACCTTTTGGGCCTGGATTTCCAGGAAACCCAAGCCCTGGAAAGCCTGTGTCACCTGTTGGCCCTGGATGCCCCTCATCACCTGGCTGACCACTTGTTCCAACCCTACCTGTTCAAAGAAAATACATAAACTGTGATGCATCTTACCACAGAACTTTATCATGTAATAACTTGGTGTTTTCTAGTTTATCATTATTAATTAGAACATCTCTGTAGATCATATTTTGTTAGATCTTTGACATTATTTATCCTCCACATCACTTTCAATAATAATTGTGATCTTTGTGTTCACAACATCAAAGCAGACATGAGTCTGTGAGTTAAGTCTTTATGCAATACTCCCAATTTCAACTTTTTTGAACAACTACGTACAGATACAAATCTTCCACTTGCTGAGGTGTTCAAGCAACACATCGTAGGGCTTAGGCTCAAAGCAGAACTAAGTGCATGAACAGAAGCTACCATAAAACTGATAATAGATTTTTCTGTGCTATTCAGGGCAGATTTAAGGACTACTGTTCTATAACATCAAATCAAAGAGGCCTTACAGTTAGCTTCAGTCTCACTGCAATATTTAGACCAGCTGTCAGAAAAGCACCCCTCTAAACCCAAGCCCCAAGCCCACACATAAAGGAAACTCACTCACAGTATATTAGAACAATGGTTAATAAAGAAAAAAAGACCCTGGAAACTTAGTAATATAATTATTTGAGCAAGCTACCACTACTGTATGAGATTTTTTTTTTTATTTTTTATTTTACTGTCACTACTGAGGGCTTAAGAATGCTTTAAACTAATTTTAATTCTTCTCTTTTGAGGACTGCAGGAGTTGCAGTGTATTTTAGATTAGACTTCCCAAAATTACATCAGAGGTGCCTTTTAGGATATATGAGGTGCAGCATACACACCTGAAGTTTCTGTTTCTTGGAAAACAGAATATAGCACTGCTTAGACCCTCCACTGTACTGCACAATGTGTTCATGGCCCCACGTGCCTTTTCTGTTCATTTTTATGTCCACTTCCCCTAATTTTCTCAAAAGACAAGGATATAGCTTATTCCTTAGTCTCTGTACCACATAAATCCTTACAGTTCTCTCAAAATAACCCAACAGTTTTATCCAGCTAGAGATGGTAGAGAAATTCCAATCAGATCATTTCTGATTTTGACATTATGTAGAGTAAACATACTCACCAGGCACTCCTGGGGGCCCGGGTAAGCCATCTGGTCCTTGAGGCCCTGGCAATGCAGGCAATGGAGCTATCCTACTGGTTTCTCCTTTCAGACCTTCAGGAAATACATTATCAAAGTCTCATAGTTTGGAAACGTTAGGCATTTAAAATAATAGCAAGGAATCTACTCTGTTAAAAACACAGTCTTCTTCTGCAGTTCCCATACTTCTGAAGCTCCAACAGATTTTGAATAACCTTGAAATCGTGACTTAATACAGGGGAATAATTTTATTGACACTACGCCCACCTCATGACTTCCTCTCAGTCCTCCTGCAGTCTGGTGGAAAACCAGAAAAAAGAGCACAAAATGATTTCAAGTAGGAAATAAAAGTTAATATCAACACCAACGACTGCCCTCAGATCAGGTGAAAAGAAACAAACCAAAAAACCTCACATCCAGCAATGTCTCCAATAGAGATTTATGTAGATTTCTTGATATGTGGAACAATATGACAAACCCAGAAAGAGTGACAAAGGCTCAGACAGATGTACTCTGATAATTGCATCTCTTTGGAAAACAAATTCCCATCTTAAATGAGTCAACAGTTGAGGCATACAGCATCCAGTGTATCACTGCAGTTACAAGCACTAAGCTTCAGAATCACAAGGATCTAAAATTCAAAAATTCTGTTTAAGAAGTGACTTAATCCTATCTTGAGTACATCTCCCCTGTCCAACTTCAAGTTCTTCCAGATTATACTTGCCTTTAAATAAACACACTGATGATTCTGGCACTGATTCAATCCTTCCTATTTTCCTTGACGACTTAGCTCACACCGATAACTATATAACTAAGGGATCTTTTTTATGATTAAGACAGTCTGGAACAGCACTGGAACCTGCTGAAAAACGTGCAGTCTTTTTCCTTGGAAGTTTTCAAGGCTTGACTGGATAACCCTTTGAGGAACTTGTTCTAATCCTTCTCTGAGCAGGATTTTGGACCAATGGACCTGATAGGGTCCCTTCCAACCTCAGCTGTCTTATGATCCTAAGAGTTTTGCTATTGTTATCTGTGGGACTGAAGCTGGAACAACAGAAATCTCATCCTAAGAAAAACTTCCTGTGTTTCATAATTTAAATCTTTGTCTTCAGTCTCTCACTACAATTGAAATCTTTAACATGGGTAAAAAGAATAATAAAATATTGTTACAAACCAGCTTCTCCAGGCAATCCACGTGGACCAGGCAATCCTTTAGAGCCTTTGACACCTCTTATTCCTTGTGGTCCATATCCTGGCAGTCCAGGAAGCCCCATCTCTCCAGGAAAACCAGGGTTACCAGGCAATCCAGGCTGTCCTCTATCTCCTTTTGAACCAGCCAATCCCTATTAATGGTTACACATGTCTGTATTCCACAAATTACTTGCTTTTCATGCTAACTTTCAAAACAGAATGGCTGGTTCTCTGTGACTGTGATATCACATTATTTCAGCAGCAGAGCAACTCTGTTAAATGAAGAGGACTTTTATGACTGAATTAATTGTGATCAAGAAACTATGAATTTTAGTATTAGTGTTACAAGCATAGGGCATTCATTTATCCTTTTTATTAAAAGTGAAATAGTACAAACCAGCTCAATTTTCAATCACTGTGGCACTACACTGAACTATTACTTTTTATTTTTCAAAGAAATATTCGGGGAAAAACAAAATTTCAACATTGATTCTCCTTGAATACAATGAGGTGAAGTTTAGAGAGTGATATCTGAATTGCTTTTACAGTTTCTCAGTCAACACAGCACAATAATAATTGCTAGTTTCTTTCTTCTGAACAAAGAGCTCTGTCCCAGCAATTCTAGTCTTAAAGTAATTCTCATAGCTTTTGTGGTTTTTCTCAGCCCTGACTGGAGATTAACTCCTAAAGACCAAACAAGAATCATTTGGACTTTTTATTTTAAGCATTGTGAGTAGACAAAAAAAACCTTTTTTTTTTTTCCCTCTTTGTTTCATTTATCACAGAAATCTAAGATAGTGCTGAGGTTTTTCAGCAGCATACATCCACACCAGCCTCATTTATCTCTGGTATTACACAAGAATATTTACTGTCATTCTTTTGTTTTCACTTGGGATTGGTTGCTATAGATGAGCATAGCACCTCTAAGTCAAGGAGAAGCTATTCAGCTGAAATATCACAATAGGTAAAACAGATCATTACATAAGATAAAGTAATTGACTAAGCTTCTCATGAATTCTGTATTCACTACAGATAGATAGTGCATACTCACCTCTTCACCTTTGGAACCTTTGTGACCTTTAGAGCCGGGTCTTCCCAGAAATCCACTTGATCCTTTTCTTCCTTTGTCTCCCCTGGGTCCTGGATCTCCTTGCTCCCCTTTTGGTCCCTCTGGATACACATACCCTGGCTCACCTTTTGAGCCCTTACGTCCTTGATCTCCTTTAAAACCTGGAGGTCCCTGGGAAAAGAGCAACCAGAAAATTTCAGTGCTAGACATGTCAAGTGTTTTTTTTGTTTGTTTGTTTGCTTGTTTGTTTTTCAGTGGTATTTTAATTGAATATCTGAGAATGATTCTCCTTATTCTCATCTCTATTAACTGAAAGTGCACACTTCAATCAGTGGCACAAATAAGAGTACAAGAAAATATCTTAAAATCTGAGATTTCTTCTCCTCGTGGGACTCTCTCCCTAGGAACACTATAACTGCCATACTTGGCTATCTGCAGCTAATTTCAGTGCTCTTTTCTTGACCCCTCAGGGCACAATGACAAGTTGAAAGCACACTGAGATCTACTGACCTTTGTCTCATGAAATCTAGGGAGCCTGAAAAAAAAACTTTAGCAGGCTCTTTCAATTATACATCTGTATGCCACCACCATATATATTTGTGCATGACAGTTTTGTATTGGATAATGTCTACTGTATTACTACAGGCACAAGTTAGAACAACCAACTGCTGGTCTGTGGCAAGTGCCTGCCAACCCTCTTCAGCAAAGTTCCCAAGAAAGAATGTCCTTTGTACCAGTAAATGGGGCATTATGAGTTTCTCAGTACAGCTGGGGCTTTGGCAAATCTGGACTTGCCAAGATATGCTGGACACAGGAGAAGTGAGAGATCTGAAAAAAGTCACAGCAGGCAAAATATACAGTTGACATATACAGACAAAATTGTACATGCTTAACAGCCACTGCCATGACTATAGCATTAAGTAGATGAACAGAATCTTGGCCTCCTCTTCACCAGACTAGACACCTTAGTGTCCTCAGCTTCTCCTCACAGGACATGTCTTCTAGCCCTTTAACCAGCTTTGTTGCCTTCCTCTGGTCAGTTTCAAGCATCTTAATATCCTTTTGCTATTAGAGAGCCCAGAATTGCGCACAACATTCAAGGCAAGGCCACAACAGAAAACTGTTGAAATCACGTAGTGTAACAGCATGTAACACCAGCTGCAACATTTATATGAAATTATTATGGGATCTGAAAAATAATCTGAAAAATGCAAGTCTTACTTGAGCTCCTGGAAACCCTGGTGCACCCGGAGAACCTGGAGCTCCTTTGGGACCTGGTGTTCCTTCTCTACCTGCAAAAGAAACAGCATATTTTGCAAAGGAAAAAGAAAACAAGGAGATGGATTTTGACAAGCTCTGATAATCACACTCAGCACTGAATGTTACTGCCATTCACACTGAGTGCATAACCACAGGCTTCAAACAGCACCTAAGCTCAGTGCTCAAGCATAAATGCTTTTAGGGCACAGGCTCACATCAGCAAATGGAGCTGCACTATGCACACTTATCACAACTTCAGGGCTATTTCAGGGACCCAGAATATTACATGCTGCAGACATGCTCATACCAGTCCTGATTCTCATGTTAAAAGTACTAGCATTTTCTATTATCCCATGAGGAACACTGAGATCATTTACCAGGGATGCCATCCTGGCCACGTGGCCCAGGAGAACCAGGAAGACCAGGTGTTCCTGGAATATAGCTGCAATCAGTACACACGCAAGCTTCATCACCTAGAAGGAATAAAATAAGTTAGTTGTTCAACAGCAAGTAACTCCTAAGCTCAACTGATCTATTATATAATTTGTTGCAGAGGGTGGCCAATATATCCTGGTCAAAGAGCAGTTGCAGGAAATGTGACCTTAACTTCAGTGGAAGGTCACTTTCAATCACTACAAGATTACCTGTTGTCAGACAATGAATCAGAACTGACAACATTTAAATGACAACATAGAAACATCTACTTTAAATCTCTTGATTTTTTTCAATTCTAGTTACAGTAAGCTGTTTGGTTACACTCTAGCCAATTTTTTTCAAAAGAAGAAAGTAACACAGGTTTCAAGTTAAAATGGCTTCATAGGACCACTTTAATGACTGGGAAGAGGCATACAAATTCAGCAGCTCCTGTGGTGATAATTGCAGAAGGAACCTTCTCTCAAAAATCAATTGCAGCCAGCAAACACAATCACTGACCTTTCATGCCCATGTCTCCTGGAGGTCCTGGAGGTCCTGCACACCCTGGCTGTCCAGGGAGTCCTGGTAGGCCTGTTCTAAAAGTTACTCTACCTGTTAATGAAACAAGCATGACACCAATACATCAGACAATTATCCATTTGCTAAAGCAGAAAAAAGGTCTAGGTATTTCTCTCTTAAATAAATACTGACACCAGCTCATCCCTGGACAAGTGTTTTAACTTCAAATACATGAGGATAAGTATGGTAAAGCTAAAGTAAATCTCATCAGACTGCTGCTGGATCCATCTGTCCAGCCAGGGAGGTGCCTTTAAAAAGCACAATCCCTTCTGGGGGGAATATTTACATTTTATTTGAATCAACAGAAACATAGCTCTTACTTTTCCAGAACTGGAAAGAAAACTTTTATTTTACTTGTAGATAATTAATGCTGTTCAAGTATATTTGTCATAATTATTCTGCTGTATTTACTATCACTTTGGAAAAAAACAGAAGATACACTGAGCAGTACATTTGCAGGATAAGAGAGAAAAGAGAAGCAGTACATCAGAAAAGAACTTGTGTAAGCCACATATATAAAGGAAACATTGTTGGTTCTTAAAGATGTTCTCCTGGTTAATACACGTACTAAAAGTGTTGTAAACTGCATCTACTCAATTGCTTCATCTATTGCTTTGCTACTGTTTTGTTTTCATGTTGCCAGAACTTCAAATCAGCTCCAACACCCTGTAAGACCCATGTAGGTATCTATGTGATCTCTCTAACTTTTAGAACAGCCCTTTGCAAAGATGGTTTTACAGAAATTCTGCAGTTTTTGGAAAAGTTCATCTTAAAAACAAATTTTCTCTCATTAGTCCTTTCTGTGATTATATAGTAGATTTTTAGTCACAGTTATACAAAAAACAGTAAGAAATTTTTATTCTAGGAAGTCACAATTCCTTCTCCCCAGAATTTCATTAGCAATGAAGCACAGATCTTTGCTTTGCATGCTTTTTAATGAATAGTCTAAGAAATTTCAGAAGAAAAATTATGTTGTATAACTCAATATACACTCCATTCTTAAGTATTTATATAATGTAATTAATTAGATATTGCGATGACTCTAGGTTTGTTGTTGTACACTGTAAATACAATAACAAAATGTCACCTGGTTCTCCCGGAGGACCTGGCAACCCAACAGAACCAATTCTGCCAGTAATCCCAGGCAGTCCTGGAGGGCCTATAATACACAAGCCCACCTGTCCTTTTTCTCCTTTTGCTCCTTTTGGCCCAGGAAATCCTGGGGGACCTCTCAGACCAGGTCTTGACACACCTAATAAAAGAGGAATAAATATAAAAATAAACAAGAAATGGAACTTCAAAGCAAAGTAAAGTTTGCAGGTTGAACAAGACAAAAACACTCTCAGAGTCCATATCATGAATTTTTTTTATGCTGTGATTTATTAAATAATTACAATGACAGGGTAAATCTATTTTTAAATGTTCTTTAATTTCTCTTTAAATATTTGTCCCATCAAAACTTTCGCGTGACATATTTTTGCCACCTAGAGTTATGTTCAAAGTCTTCCAAAATTAAGATATTCACAAAGCTGACTGGGATATAATAGCAAGATACTGAATTATTACATATACCTGGTCTACCAGCATCTCCAGGAGGACCCTGTGGCCCTGCAAAATAATGTGTTTAGAACTTTAATTAAAAAGCTGTATGATCTACAAGGCACTACTCAGTAACATTGACTACAATCTTTGGACTTCTGCATTCTATTCTCATTTTATCTTTTAAGAGTTTGGTTTTGCCTGTGTAGCAATTATACCATTCATGCAACTGCTGTACACTGCCAATTCTCACTAAAATCTGGTTCAAATAATTCAATACATTTTAATTTTACAGCATGGCCAAAATAAATGAAAGAAAAAAAAATATTATTTTAGGGTGATAGGCAATTAAAAATGGGAAATACAATCTGTGAAAGCCAAAAAAGAGTAGCAGAACCTTCACCAGAAGACTTACAGCCCTGATGGTTTGTCTATGGCATACATAAACAATGCTCTGATGAATTATCCACTGAGGTCATTATACAGAATATAAGTGAGTTTAGGTGCTGAACTCAATTATCTGTACAATGAAGTACGCCAATTTCAATATTTTTAAAAGGAATTTCAGCTCTGCAATTTCATAGGAGTCATTTGGAAATACTCTTGGAAAGGCAGAAGCAAATAGCTGAGTAATCAAAAATCTAGCCTGCAGCAATCCCTTTGAGTAAACAACCCTTTCCAAAAGATTCTAGTCTGATGGGCTACTAACCAGGCATGCCACGTTGCCCTTTAGGTCCTGGAGGTCCTGGAGGTCCTTCATCTCCTTTTTCACCAACCACATCATAATACTCTGTCTTAATAAAGAGATTGTAAGAAAAGTAAAAATAATAAAAGTGAAGAGAAAAGCACAGTGCGTCATACTGACCATTTAGTTACTGACCATAGTTAGAACAATGTTATGATTTCATTCATCATATTGACGTTCTGACACCATGAGACCTTTCTAATCACATGCTAATTACTCATAAGCAGACAGAAATTGAAGTACAATTTTTAACACACAGCTAAAGCCAAAAGACTTGTAGAAATAGAGGGAGCTGGGAATTCCAACCAAGTTCCTTAACCCTCAGAGAACTCCTCTGTCTGTGAATGCAACTATACAGGTAAGGTACCAGTTGGAGATGCAATCATGAATATTACAGTAGCATGAAAATATTCTTGACACAAATCTTCAGGAGTCAGTGTATTCTACTGCCTAAAAGCAGCACTATCAACATCTAGGCTACTCTCCTAAGTAATCATACATGAAAGTAGACAAAATCATCCATTTAAGTCACAAATGCATATAGAAGTCATTCATTTAAAATTAGTATTTGTAATATTCTTAGTATATTCTTAGTTCTTTATTTCAGAATTTCTTTAAGTGAACAGCAGAATCAGGTCTGCTTTTTTGTAACTATAATTTTTTGGCTCTTTTCTGAATTATTTTGCATGGACATTACTACCCAAAAATAAGATTGCAGTAAGAGTTTTGCCTTGATACAAAAATATTACATTGAAATGTAGATGGACTACTAATACACCGATTTTAGAACAAACAACAAAAAAACTGCTTAAAACTAAAATTCACAGGTTTTTTTTAATTAACTTTTTGAGAAGCAGTAGGCATTTTTACAGCTCCACCATCATCACAAATTATTCAGCTTATTTAAAAGTTATTTCTTTTTGAACAGAAAAGTTACCATTACATGCACACGGGGCCTTTAAGGCGGCCAACGGAGTGGAAATGACTGAAGTCTAATGAGATGCTGTTTTTGCATCCAGTTCTACATGAAGGAAGATGCCATCTCTGTGAAACACCCAACAATATCAGTACCTTCTAGAATGACATATTCCAGTAAGAGCATCATGAGGCATCTGAAATTGCCATACGAAATCAATTGGGCTTATTCTTATTCTAGTGGTTTAGACAAATATTATGATGAAGGTAGTTTACACTTACTTGACCACAAGCTCCAGGTGGACCAGTGTTTCCTTTTACACCCTTCATTAAAGGACAGAAATTGGTTAAGTTTATTTATTAAAAACAATACTTGACATTTGGTATTCTCTGCCACTCAGTACTTTGTTTATAACATTAAAGGACTTCTATTCCTGAACTGTTTCTGTTCCCAACACAACTGTTCAGTTACATACTCCAAAAACTACAGAAACACAGCAGCAGGCAAGGATGGGCACTAGTTCATGCACATCATCTATTAAAGTTGATTCATTCTGTATTCTACATATTATTGTCATCTACATCACAAGTAAAGTAAATCATAACGAAGACAACATACTAACATTCAAACATACCTTATCCTCATCCTCAAAAACAAAACAAACGCATTAGCCAATACCTTAGCTCCTTGTCTGCCAGCCAGTCCTGGTTTGCCCTGTTCACCATGTTGTCCCTGCAAGTGATAAACAATTTTATGAGAAATAATCTCTTAGCACTGTCATCAGTAAGATTTGAATTTGATTTTTTTTCTTTTTTCATGGTAATGGCAATGTGAATGAGACTTGCTCAGGGGGAGAAATCTAAGTGAAAGACTCGGGTTAGGGTAAAGTTCCTTGCCTGCAAGCAATACTACAGGTCTGACATGCAAACCCGCATTTATAATGGCATATTCTACCAATCCTAAGGTAAAGCCCCTCCAAACAGCACAAGTGTATGAGGTTCTAATTTGTCCTTCCTCCACAAACTGATGTTTCTGAAAGAGGATAAACCGAACACAGTGTGATATTCCCACTTACAGCAACTTCATCTTTCAGATCTTCTCCAATATCTGTGATAATGCTGATCTCTACCACTAAGAGGTGTGAGCAAGACCAGGAGGGAAAATAACACAGACTGCAGCTAAGGCTTTCTGCAAGCGTAGATATGTAAGGAAAAAGGATTTTGCCAGAGCAGATGCAGTTGAATGCACTTCTTGTTTGTAATGCAGAAATAGGAAGAGAACAACAATGACCTGTCTTCGTGATGACAGAAGGTATTATTCGTGTTAGCTGAGTAATAAGACATTGAAGTCTTGCAATCTGTCATTCCAAGTTTTTTGTCAGACTGGAATGTTTAGACTGAGTGCTATGGTTGTTTTGACACAATGAGGATAATATTTTAGTAGGAGAATGACTCTCTCCTGCACACATCTATAGATACGTGGTATGTTCTACGGCCAGTTTAGTGACAGGAAATGTTTAACAATGCATGCAAATCAGCATTCTCAAACATATTTTGCAAAGGCTGTGACAAGAAGATGTGTGCTAAACAGATGACTGTTACTTAAAAAACATTTTGAAGGTTTCCTTCATTACCGGTAATCCAGGTCGACCCGGAGCACCTTCTTTACCAGGTTTACCCTACAAAGAAAAAATAAAATAAAAGAATAAAAAATTAAGAAAATTTTAAAATATCTCTAGTCTGGTTTACTGGATGAAAGAGTTTTTGCATCTTAGAAAATCTGATTTGAAAACTGGAAAGTAGAAGAGTAACAGCTTTTCCCTGAAAAGAAATAGAACAAAACTGCTTTTCAAGGAAGATTAACATATCTTGCCTTTTTCACATACCTGTGCTCCAGGTTCTCCTCGGTCACCCTTTTCACTCTGAGAATCACCAGTTGGCCCCTACAACAAAAACACCCTCAAAATACATGTTTTTAAGTCACATTTTCTAAATTAAATACATATTTATCTTTTTTTTTTTTTTTTTAAATCTTTAAATAGTGTAAAGATGAAGTGCAAGTAAAATAACATTAATAGATATTCATTAAAGGTCAGAATAAGTAGCATAATACTGGACTCTAAAGAACCGCCTTTACTAGGTGATGCTGTCTGAATGTCTAAATTTATGGGATTTACTGTAGTCTCTTACTGTAAATCCCATTGGCCCTGGAAGTCCTCTTGATCCTTTTTCTCCTTTCTCTCCTTTCAAGTCCTATTATAGAGAAAAAGTATAAATTAATTCCAAATTTAATATGATCACTGAGGTGTTTCTGGGCTTACCAAAACATTCTAGTGTAACAAATAGGAAAGCCTCACATCACTGACAAGACCACTTAAGCATAGATAGCTCTACTTAAATAACTAAATGAAAAACCAACTTACTAACAGCACCCCTACCTATAGGTAGGGACACAAAGAAGCTTAAGAAAGGCATCTACAGGTATACCATCTGGAAAAGAAAGGTCCAAGAGGACATACCCTCCCTAGTGAGCAACACAGACAGGCTGGTAACAGCAGATGATGATAAAGCTGAGGGATTCAATTACTTTTTTGTGTCAGTCTTCACTAGAGAGTGCTCTACACACAGCCCTCAAGCAGATGGTTCAGATGGTGGGAACCTGGGGAGCACTGCCTCTCACTCTGTAAGTGCAGATTAGGTTTGCGATCGCCTGAGGAGCCTGAACATCTTTATGACTATGGATCTTGATGAGGTGTATCTCAGAATCCTGAGGGAACCAGCTGATGTAGTCACCAGCCTACTCTCAAGGATATTTGAAAAACTGAACAGACACATTGTAAGTAAAGCTTAGTACCTAACCATACCTACAAAGCGAGAATGGGTGAAAAGAAATGTTACCAGGACAGTGAAGATAAGGATGCCTTTGCACAAAGTACAAAACAGTAAAATGGTTTATCTGAACACAGTCTGTTTTATACCGTCATGTTATCTGGTCCACTTAATGTAACAATAACAGTTCCTGGTGGTCCAGGGGGTCCAGTTAATCCAGTGTCTCCCTTAAAAAAGAAAAAAAAAAGGGAAAAATGAAGCAATTACAAATTTTTTGTTTGTCTGTTTGTTTCAAATTACTACTGCTATACATTTGACACTGTGATTTTTTTTCTGTCTTTACAATTACTTGTTAACACCATCAACATTTCTGTTTGCTTGCTTTTTATCTCCCAATGAAAAGGCATACAGAAAACAAAACTACTATTACAGTCACTCCTAGGTGAGAAATTTAAGAATGTGCATGCATACTGTCTTCTTCCAAAGAATCTAGAATTAGCATGAAGAGTATTTTTAATACCATTTTATCTCTAAATTTATTTAAAGTATCTCCTTACAATTATCATCATTTTCTCCCAATTTAATCAAGACAGTCAATAAAAATATATGAAGTGTCTTTGGTGACATCCTCAAAATTGTAGTCCCATACTACAAGAAGATATTATATTACTGACAGGTAAAATCAGTTTTTGTGCTCTTGATCTAAACACTAATATCACAGTATACTTTGCACAGAGGATCTTTTAAAACAGGGAAATTCCTCTCTTTCCCACAGAGCTCAACAAAACATTATCCATGATTTTAAGCAATTTTAAGCCAAGGAAAAGCCTTTGCAAGTACTTGCACTGTAACAGCAAGGAATGCTTCCTTAATAATCAATCGTATTTCTAAACATTATGCCAGGAAACTTCTAGCATGCTCCTAGTAGTAATTACAAAATTAAAATCAATCCCACTGTCAGTGATGTTTCAGACCACAGCTGAACCCGTGTGGATCCATTAGCCTAACTCTAAGATGACCCACGTTCTTAAAATGATGCTGTAAGGGCTTTCAGACTGACTACACTGGTCCTCCAACTGCAGGCTGAGGTCATATTCTTTGTCATTTCTATGAGTGTAATTTTTATGGCAAAGTAAGACCAAGACGAATCATCCACTTTTTTCCTCAAAATCTAGGAGGTTTTCTAGCATCACAAGGGCTGAAACAAAAAAGATGTTGGCCATAAGAGATTGTGAGTCTACAGATGCTCTAAATTTACCAGTGTTTACATGCTTGGATAAGCAGTTAGGAATATAAATGATATATAAATGTGATGTGTTAGTAAATATTAACTGCTATCTCCTCTTGGGTTTCTACTCTTCTACCATAAGTTTGTTTCTTCAACTTTTATGAAAAAAGAGTTTGTCCTTATATAATGCCATGTTTCCATCTTCCAGTAAAAGACTTCCACACATACACTGAGAATTTTTATTCACAGTACCTACTTTTCCAAACATTTCACCATAGTATAATAGAAACAAAACTTAAAAACATTTTAAGCATTGCATGCAAATACCTTTCTTCCTTTGGTTCCTATTACTTTCATTCCCATAAGACCCTATAAAAACAAACAGTTTGGAGCTTTTTACAAAATTTATTTTATTAACACCCATAGAATATGCAAATAGATGCTACACATATTAGAAAGTTTTCATTTTCATTACCAATCTGAGACTACCTTAGGTCCAGGAGGTCCTGGTCTCCCTGGTACTCCCTACAAAAAAAAAGAGGAAAAAACAACCCACTATGTAAAAAAAAATATGATATTCACACCAATATAGGAGCCCTGAAGTGCCCAGCTTTCACCTGAGTTATATTACTTTTTTTCATTTCTTTTCTCACCATTACCACTGGCATTTGTTGTGAGGTGAAGATACAGTAGAGATTACACGGTCTGACTGCACACACATACCTCTGTTATAGTTATTTACATTAGAGTTTGATGTTAATTTATGGGTAGTTGTTTTAAAATAAAAATTTATGCCTACTTAGACAAAAGCCATGTCTAATGCATGATAATTTCCATGTTCTCAAACATAAACAGAAAAAAAAAAAAAAAAAAAAATCAGATGTATGCAGAAAGGTATGGATTTCACAAATTCAAGTCTCTAACTCTCAAACAAATCTGAGAGTCAGGTAAGTCCATAGATTACTTTAAAAATCAAAGGTTAAAGTAACATGTGATATTTAAGATCATACTCACGGAAGTTCCTGGAAGGCCCCGTGGTCCAGTTTCCCCAGGATATCCTTGAACACCCTGAGCACCCTGCACATTAAAACAAACAAAAAACAACAAACCAAACATAACAGGAATAAATGTCCTGGCAAGATGGTGAGAAAATCATAATGCTAAGTTCATCCAACTGAATAACAGAGGAGCAACACTGTCTCTTGATTTCCTTTTTATGTCTCAAGAGAATGTAGAAGTGTAACTGTGTTTTGAAACATAGAATACATATCTGTTCTAAAACTAAACTACTCTAGGGTATAAGTCCTGTTTAATGCAACAGGACATTCTAATTATCCATGTAGCCCTACTGTTAGACAAAGTAAGCCTGCAAGCTTTGAAATATTCTGTGCAATAAATCCTATATTTTAAAGATTCATTTTTGAAGAAATGGGAAATCTAAAATACTGCTTTTCAGTTTAATTCAATGTTCTTCATTTATACTAACAGTCAAAATAAATGTCTACTCTGCTTTCTTCTATTAATCTTGATGTTTTTTAGAAAAAATATGGATCACATTGTTTTTTGTTAACAACTCTGGAGAAGTTGAACCAATTTTACTTCATGGGGAACTTTTCACCATTTCTAAAGTAATTTTTCTTGTCTGCAACCTGACTTTCTCATTCCTATTTAACTAATAGATAATGAAGACTGCTGGTTCTGATGACAAAATAATTACTACTATTCTGCTGTACTCTGTTGAAAAGTCAGAAAAAAAGCTTCAGATAAACTATATTTGTCAGATTATATGAAGTTAAAAATTCTTAAATATGGTCATTTTCTGGTTTAGAAATGAGTAATTGTAAAAAATACTACAGATCTATAAATAGTACATAAAAATAATCTATTATATGGACACACGTATATACATACAACTATAGGTATATATGTGCTTAGATCTCACAGTAAGAGTTAACTATTCATTACCTGAAGCCCAGGCATTCCTGGCAATCCAGGATCACCTTTTGCACCATATCCTTGGTCATATCCATCTGCAGGGCACCCCTGGACAATCCGATAGAAATCAGACAGAAAAATATGCTTGCAAAATTTTTTCATGGATCTTAGGGTTCAAATCTTCTAACAGAGTATGTGGGGAAATAAGCAATATCAGAACTGCAAGACGATGAGAACTATCTGTAGTGGACATTTATATCTTAAAAAATGATTTAATTAAACAGAATATAACTTTTTCAGGCATCCAAGTTCTCTGTATTAGGAGTAGTCATCATTTTAGATCTACTTTGTTTTCTTATGCACAGTCCTGAACATTTATTTTTTTTTTTTTTCAATTTTTCTGTACTTTTTTTCATCTTTAACTACTCCCTAGTGCAGCTGTAGGTTTCTATATGAATTCCATAAGCTATTTGAGGAGGGACTTAATTCTTTGCATGCTTGAAAGACAAATTCTGAACAAGCAACAACTGTAGTTAAAGGAATTGAAAAAAATATATATAATTTTGTTTCTCAGAATGAGTACAGACCATGCACAAATATTTGTTGTATTCTGGAAAATAAACCTGTTTTCTGTGAATGATGACATCAAATATTCATTTTCAGTAGCAAATGCGAATATTAAGTCTTGATTTCCAACAGGTATTTCAGATAATATGGTGTAAATGACTGACCTTATCTCCTTTGATGCCAGCAATACCCTACAGAGATGAACAATCACATTACTAAAACAGAAAAGCAAGCAACAACGGTGAAAGGACACGTTATAAATATTCATTAAACTCAGTGCTCTTAAAGTGGTTTATTTTCACAAACACAGTCTATAGCCAGGTACACATTTGCTGCACCTGATTTCAACCTAGGAAAAAAATTACATACTATCAAAAAGTAGTCCAGACACACTGTTGCAATTCTACACATGCAAACAGAACAGTCTTGAGGTCAGATCTTAAAAAAATTTCATATAAAGCAACAGGAGAGTTGGCACAATAAAGATCATGTTTAGAAATTATCTGATTTGAAGCCACTAGAACTTGACAGGTAGCATTCCTTTCCTATTTGTTGTCTGTAAGCTTTTATAAAAAACAAATTTCTACATAGAAAAAAAAAAAGGGTAAAAGCAATGCAGCCACAATAAAAGTCTTGGCTTTAATTCCTAGTTCTGTTATTGGCTTAAGTAAGCTGTACCCTCAATGGTATTTAGGCATGAAATGAAAATGGAATCTATTTAAACACATCCTGTACACCTTTAGAGATGTAAATGTTAAATTTTCACGAGTATGCCTTAAGTCATTCTAGAGCTACTATCAGATAATGAATTCACACACATTCACTGCCTAAAAAGTTGAGGCCTAACATGTAGCAGATTAAGCATCACTTTTAAACTTTATTTCTTTACAGCACTTTATTCATTGTTAATAAATTGGGCATACCTATATATTTCAACTGTTGTCAATACCAGCTAATACAAGGCTTTACACAAAACTCCTTCACTGAGTGTCTGTATGCAGTAAAAATGTAAACAATCATGAACTTCACAGACACCTACTGGAACGCCTGGAGCACCTCTTCTACCTGGAGGACCTGGGAAACCTCGATCACCCTGAAATTAAGAGCAATTGTTAATGCATCATATTATTATTATTATGGCAAAAGATACAAAGAGTTTTTTTTATGTTACCACACTATAATTATGATTTGGATTACTATCACATTAAAAGAAGTGGCATAGCCTGACCTTATAGGCCAGAGATCAGGATTTATCAGCTATGTCAGACCAGTTTTCTGTTTTTCTATAAAAGGTATGATTTTCCATAAAAGGCATTCTTCTGACTCCCTCTTTCAGATTGAATTCTTTCTTAATATTAAATTTTTCTATTAGTTGCCCTTGGGATTTATGAATTGCCAGCTGCAAGCTAGATACAGGTAAATCAAAATGAACGAATTTCCTCTTCCATTACCCATGCTAAAAGAAGGACTGGTTGAGCAAAGCTGATTACGTCTTCTGGACTTTAAGCAAAATGATTTTTTTCTGTCAAAATAACAAACATAATTCTTAACAGCACAGAACTAACTTTTATTTAATTATTCTTATGCATAAAGACAGTGCTTTTCCTTCCATTATTAACAGTCATGATTCAATTTTTTTTCTAGTCTATAAAATCACAAACCAAAACAAACCAAAATCGTTGTATACTGGGGGAAAAAAATAAGAATGCTTTGGCCATTCCCAAACATAGCCAATCACAATCACAACCAGCTTGGTTTGTACCTTTGTGCCGTTGCAACCTGGAACACCTGAGCGCCCAGGGTGGCCAGCAATTCCTGGTTCACCCTAAAAAACATGTGCAAAATTGACACAAACTTTGTTTTTGCACATTCATATTACCCTACAGCAACACTGAAACAGTTTGGAACAGTGTTTCACAAGACTTCGTAGATTACAAAGCGGACTGAAATCATTACAGTGAGTAAGAATTGCTAATGCTAAGATGAGGTTAATTGACAGACAACTCAGATGTTGACACTGGAGTGAGTATGCTGGGTTGAGACTACTTGAGTACTGAAGAGTATTTTAAGAGAAAAACTTGATAAGTCAGATTCATTTTTACTTACTGGAAGGCCTGGGGGACCTGAAAATCCAGGTATTCCTGGGACTCCCTAATCATACAAAAACAGTAGAACAACATCACTAATATTAAAGATCTTATCATGCAGTTTTCCTTTTTGTCATATTCATAAATAGAACGACACATTCCACGACATAAATTTTAAAATTACTTTGAAGGCATAGAATCACAGAATGGCTTGGGTTGTCACCATGAGCAGGGTTGCTATCCACTAGACCAGGCTGCCCAGGGACCCACTCAGCCTGGCCTTGAACACCTCCAGGGATGCGGCACACACAGCTCCTCCAGGCAGCATATGCCAGTGTCTCACCACAATCTGGGTAAAGAATTTCTGTGTAACCTAAATCTCCCCTCTTTTAGTTTAAAGGTATTCCTCCTTGTCCTATCACTATCTACACTTGTAAACAGTTGGTCTCCCTTGTAGTTATAAGCGCTCTTAAGTGCTGCAAGGCCATCATGAGGTCTCTCTGATGCCTTCTCTTTCCCAGGCTGAACAAGCCCAGCTCCCTCAACCAGCAGCCCTCTGATCACCTTTGTTGCCCTCTTCTGGACCTGGTCCAAAAGCTCTATGTCTTCTGCTTGTGGCCCCAGGCCTGGACTCAGTACTCCAGATGGGGCCTCATAAGGGCAGAGTGGGTGGGAAAATCACTTCCCCTCCTACTGCTGACCACCCCTCTTTTGATGCAGTTCAGGATACAGTTGATCTTCTGAGCTGCAAGCACACACTGATGGCTCATGCCCAGCTTCTCGTCTATCAGAGCACCCAAGTCCTTTACTGCAGGGCTATTCTCCATAAGTTCTTCTCCCAGTCTGCAGATGCATCTGGGATTGCACCAACCAAGGTGTGGTACCTTGCACTTGGCCTTGCTGAACCTCTAAGATTCACGTGAACCCGCTTTTCAAGCTTGTCCAGATCACTTTGGATACCATCCCTTCCTTCTGTCATATAAACTCATTTTTCACAAATTACTGTTAGCTTTAAACAGGATATTTAATACATACAAGCTTGTTTAAAACAAAAGTACTTACTCGTATACCTTTGGGTCCTGCTAAGCCCATAGGCCCTGGTGAACCCTAAACCAGAAATGAACAACTTCATATTTCAGTATAATAGAGCAAATGCAAAACAGGGTATACAATATTTTTTAATATTAGTACCAATGTGTGCATATGCAACTATATAAATATATATAGGATTTGTCTACTACAAACACTAAAAGAAACAAACATTTAATCCAGCTTCTATACGCGGTGTCATTCTGCCCTACCTGTCAGTGTTTATAGGAGATATACCTCATCATAGCTCAAAAAATAACTGTCAGCATCTTAAGAAAGCAGTTCCTATAGATCTGTTCAAACTGTGAGGACCTCTCTGTGAGGAAAGAGCTGGAAGCCTCATCAGTATTCAAGAGTTTTCCACCTCCTAGGCATTAATGATGTCAATGTAATGATTGGCTGTATTCAGGTACCAGCCACTCTAACCTGCGCTGTTTTGTCTAGAAAGGAAACCTAGGAGCAGGTTGAAAGAGAGCTACACAGAGAGTGTGCTGAAAGAAAGACAGCAGAACCTGTCACAGCACAATCTAGACAGAAACTGCTAGAATTACTGCAAGATATTTAGAGCATTATTGATGAGACAACTTTTACTCTACCTTGAAAGGAAATGGGGAATGTACAGAACCACAGAGCTCTCAAAACCCTGCCCGACAGTTGATTTAAGATAAAAATCACGAGCATTGGATTAGTAAAAGCTAACACAAATATACTACAATATATGATATTCAGGCAAACAGAGATGTCCTCACTAGATAAATAATTCTTACTTTTTGCTATTCTGCAGAAGTTATTATCACTTATTACAAGGGAAGTGCATGACTGAATACTTTTTTTGTATTCAATGAGTTTACATAAACAGCTCATCAACATCTACAAGATTTCCCATAAGTATAGTTCAGCAAAATAGAAGAGAGAAATCAGAAAATAATGCAACAACACCCAAACAAATTAAAATTATAAAGAAACATTTATTTAAAGGTGTAGATAAAGAGGGAAGCCACAGGATGGAGGCCCTAGATGTAGTGTGACTATGGCAGTGCTGTCAGTCTTTCTTCCTAACTTACACTATGTCAGAGTTTAGGCCATACTTACAAATAGCTTATTCAGCAAAGAGTGATTTTATTGACGACAGCAGGAATGTCAAGACAAATATAAATAATATGTTTGGATTTTTTTATTTTTTTTATTTAATCAGCAATTTCTTTTTTTTCTGGATCGTTCAAAAATTACTGAAAATTCATACTTTGACCGAATTTTTGGCATGTTGGCAAGTAAGACTAAGTCATCAAAGTCATTCTCCCCAGAGTTCAGGTAAATATAAGGCATTTCCTAGACAGAACAAGATTTAACTGAAAAAACATATTTTGCTTCAATTTTTCTTAAATCTATTTTCCATTATTTGCCTCAGTAACAGCTTGTTTCCACTCTTTCTAGCAACAGATGTCAGAACACAGTTTAGACAAAATTGCAGTTATGCTACTGAAACATATTTAGATATATGTTCCTTGCCTCTGGCAGGTCAGTCCAAGTGCTTTAGCACAAAAACTTATATTCATATGACCTACTTCTAGTCATTCAAACCTGAACATTGCAGTTTCTGACCACATAACATCAATCACTAAATGGGAGATTCCTGAACACATGGTTTTGTTGTTGTTGTTTTTCCTGTTCTTTTTAAAAATAGTTATTTTTCCAGGCATATCTTAGTTCCACATTCAAGCACAAACCTAGTGTCTTTCTCTCACCACTGAAACCTACCTTTGGTCCCTGTGGCCCTGGAGGCCCTTCTGGACCTGGAAAGCCTCTATGACCAGGTGGTCCCGGAACACCAGGGAAGCCTTTTTCACCCTGTAAATGTTAAGAAGTCTTAACAATATTGCTGATTTCTCTTATTTATAACTGATTTGTAAGACATTCATTATTTTTAGTACCTCTGAACTTCTACATTCGTGTCTACTACCGTGGCAGATATATTACCCTTGCCCATACTGACCTGAGCTCTGCCTAGCCTGCATAATATCACTAAAGGAACATGCTAATTATGAAGATATCAGAAGACATGAGTATTCAAGTTTTCACAGAGTACAGAATTTAACTGGCAGCATGAAAAGTTTAGGAAAGTAGTTGATACATATTTCTTCTTAATATTTCTTTCCCATGTTTAGCCTGAACAAGAAACACAGATTTGAAATCACCATAGCGCTCCTAATTTCTGATTGACAAACACAATGACTGCTGTTACACAGCAAGGCCAGTTCCACACCATCAATACCTTTCTTCGTGAAAGCCACAGGAAGAATCAGTGAAAGTGAAAATGTAGTAAAACTGTTCAGATAGAATAAAAATAAGTTTAAGTTACAGCATTTTAACATTTTACTGTGTCTCAAAGATTAAGCCATCCAATTATATTTTCATGTCCTTTTTTAAAGGCTAAGTCCAAATAATCAAACCATGTGAAGGAAACACAGAAGACTGAAATTAGCCAAGTAGAATAAGGGAGGTGAACTTACATCAGGAATGGCACTCTCAGTTTTTTAGTTAAATATAACAAACATGCAAGTTTTATCCCAGTTAAAATAAAAGCCTAGGGACTCATAGAAAAGATTTAACTCTTTAGATAGAAGCAGTTTAGCATGATCCCTTTTACTTCTTCTAACCACTCTATGATTGTATGACTTCATTGAAGAGTTAATTATTCAGGACTGTTTATATCACAGTGTGAGATGGAAGAGAGAGGATGGGGTTATCAACTCCTTTGGAGTCTATTTTCCTACTATTTTATCAGAGGGGACTTGCATACAAAAAGCATTTGCAATTCTGCTGTGCATAAGTTATCTTACTGGTATCTTAGTATTCAATGTACAAGACAGCCTGCAAAAAAAGACTTGAGGACCTGAAAATACCTTGGCTTGTCTCTCCACCAATTCTCACCTCTCAAAACCTCAGATTTTAAATATCATCTGAATTGTGAATGTATATATATATAAACACAGAAAATAATCCCAGAATATTTAATCACACATAAAGGATGAAGATGGCATTACAAAGCGTCTCTGAGATCCGTATCACAAACAGGAACAGCTTTTTAAAACAAATCATTTTTTTCAGTCAGTGCCGCCCCAAGAAAGGCAAAAAGGAAATGTTGTACCAAGATGTGCCACTGGAGGGGGTGCGGTACTATCCCATACAAAACGAAAGTAATTCTGAAACTACTGAACAACACACTGCAGCGAGGTGTGGGATACATTTCTCCTCTGCAGCTGATGTGCGTTTGCCTCACCACTCATCTCCATTCTGCACCTGCAGTTTTACCCACACTTTCTTCTTGACAGATCAAAAATATCAAGATCTTTCAGGTTGGAGAATTAATGTTGAACAGTTGTGAAAATGTACCAATGAATGTAAACTGTCCTTAGCTTCAGCAGTGTTACCTACTAATTGCTCAGTAGATTTAAAAGGGAACTGATGAAGACAAGTGGGTGTTCACTCATCAATATTTCTCTCTTAGTGGCCAGCTTATTATTTTTTTTTCTTACTTTTCACATTTTATTATGAGAGAACTTCTCTCCACCACCAAAACTAAGCTTCCTAAGGGTAAGAATAGCAGTATGACATACTTCATACACAATTACAGAAGTCAAGAGTAATTCTTTACGAACCAGATGTATCGATCAGTGGGAACGATCACAACCCTAAGTGTATATTGAGATCATGGCATGTACACATCTGAAACTTATTGTTAAGGTTTAGTACAGCAAACACTGTGTCCCACAGTTACCCTGAAGTACAACCATGACTTCTCTAATAATGCCCCTTTCATTGTGAATCAGTTGTTTTTCAAACTACAAGAAAGAGTTTGAAAGAATTTTTGGCATTTGTGTAATTCAGGTTTGTCTAAAGCACACTGAGCCTCTGCCAAGCTACTATTGGCAACAGGCAGAGTTGCAGTTCTGTTGCTTTTGATAGACTTGACACTGTTGTCCTGTTCCTGACAAGGTGTTTGTGATCAGGACCCAGAAACTCATCTCGGTCTGCAGATTTCTCTGTTTGATACCAGAGCATGAATCTTCCCTTCAGGAACTGGAAAAGGTGAGGTCAGTGGTGGGTGCAGGTAGGCAAGGTCCAGAGGTAGAAAAAGGGTACAATGAACAAGATGCCATTATGAAATTTGCAACACGAGAGCTGATGCTGCCAGGATAGTGAGAACTGAAAGCATTTGCTAAGAATTTATAACAGGAACCTAACCAAACATCACACAAAACTGTAAACAAGTATTAATTAATTAATATTAATAAATATAAATTGATTAATAAATATATTTTAAATTCTTAATCAGTGTCCAGATTATTTTAACCTTTTTTTGGTGGGATAACGTATTGCCTTTACAATTCACCATAGACCTCACTGACAGAATACCAGCACAAAATAAATTCACTTGCTGTATCAACTCAACTAATGCATTATTAATTTTCCACTATAAACTAATCCTAGGTAATATATATTTGCTCTTACCTTATTGCCTTTCACGCTATCACAAAAGCAGGGGCTTTTACCTTTGCATACACAGTTCTGGAAAAAAAAAGACAATTTATATAACAAAATAATTTTCCTCATCGTGTTTCTTGGTGAAGGACAAATGAGAACTGGTTTTTTTGTTTGTTTTTAAGATAATAACTTAAAAAAATGTTCATGAAGAGTGGCAATTCCCAACAGAAGAATATAGTTCATTATTGCTCAGTGCAGTGTAAGTAACTTGATAGAAAGTATAACTACTCACGTACTCAGTTTGAGCTGGGAGCTCAAGCAGAGCTGCAAAACACATCTGAGATCCCCTGGGGACTATGAGTTAACCTCCCTATGCCCTGTTTCTGCTACAGCTATCATGCAGTCAGGACCTGAGCTAGCCTAGTCCATCTGGGATGACTCTGCAGAAGACTTCTCAATGCTCAGGTAGACATATCCTATCTCAGTGTAGTAAAATAATCTTAATGTAATTTTTTTACATATTAAAACATTGTTAGGATTATTGAAGCTATGTATCTCATACAGAGGTAGAGTACACTGTATTTATTGTCTTTCTTTGTATGCTTAAACTCTTTCCTTTGCTTTTGAAGCTTTTGCTGAATGACTTTTTCAGTAGTATCCCTTTAGAAAGAAGGTTATTTTTCAAGTTACCGTCTCATTTTAATACATATATTTATCACAATTAATTATACTATGGTACAGGTCCAAACAACAGGAAAGTAACAAATATCCTGTATCGGTTTTAAGAGCATTTTTACAAGTTGCATAAAATTCAGAAAAAAATAGAATAATTCTATTTCTAATGGGATTAAAGCCTTTAAGATAGTATGATATAAAATTTCTATTTAAATCTTGAAGGACACTTTAAGTATAAATACACAAGTATAAAATTACAGACATCTCAAAATGAACTGAAAACAGTCTACATGACAATCAACATTCTTGTTTCCTATTCAATATCAGTGCCTTCCAACACCAATAATTATTTTCTTCAAAATAGTACATCTTACTGACACATTTTTGGTACATGTCTGATAAGCAGTATAAAACTGGAACCTGATCAGTGTTCATCTTACAAAGGAAAGATGTAAACATACAGCAATAAAGGTAGTTTTCAAATACAGGTCCCACACGTTACTGCTGTACAGAGCTGGTGAGTGACTCAAGCTACCACATCCTTAAGGCTTGCATATGCAAGTTGTAAATTAACTGCAAAACCTATGAGACCAATTATTCAGCAAACTCAATTGCTAAAGCAAAGTTGTAGCTTACAAATTTAGTAGACACACCAGCCCAGGAAAGGTGCTGCTTACTCAGAAAAAGTGCCTGAAGTATTCCAATTTCTCCTGACTTATTCAGTGTAACCAGGAGCACATCCTTACTGACCACACTGAGCTTTCCTGACAAATAGACATCACTTTCTATTATTGCCAGTATTGGCTACTTGCTATTATATCTCTATAGACCTCAGTGAAGTTGCACCTTATTTCTAATCACAAAAGTAATATCAAAAGCAGTTTTATTACAGAACTTATACGCAAAATAGAGTTTTCAGGACATGGAGAAAAATAAGCAAGAGAAATTATTCTTCCACAATGGATACAATCTGTGGAAAAATAGTATGTATGGGTAGAGAAGAAACTTTTTCTTTCAACTTATAATCACAGATTATGAAATGCAGGAACATGCAAAAGTTTATGATGCTACATAACTAATCAATGTTATTCAACTCTTTGAAGAAAAAGAGCCTTTCTTCTTCAAAAAGTGAGAATGCCTAGAATGTGCTTGATTTGCCGTTAGCTAGCTTTCAGATCAATTTAGGTCTCTTTTTGAACACATATAACTTTAAGCTAAACTGAAAAGACCAAAGATGATTTTACATTACACAGACAGACAGCTGGATAACACAAAATGTTTTGGCATATGATTTTTACATAAGATTGGATTACGCCTTCTGTAAAGGAGCTGTGAACCAAGAAATCATTGCTCACTTACACCACTGATGTTGCCTGGATGTCTTCACAGCCTTATAAGATGCCTGCAGCTTCTTTATCAAAGGATCATAACACAACTATAGTACATAGTCAAGTTATACAATGGAGGCATTTAATATTAGTTATTAAAACATTATTTCTCACAACAACGTCTTCATAAATACATGCATTACTGCAGCCACATGTTGGCTGCATGTTTTTCAGTTCCGTAACTTGTAGTAATTGACTCAATTTATTTCAAACAAGTAGACAGGAAGATGGAACTAGATTTCCAATCCAAAAATCTAGGCCAAAGAACAAAGCAAAGTCCCTCTATGAACAACAAATCAAATGAATTAAGCAGTGAATCAAAATGTTAAAAAACAATGAACAAACAAACAATGCCAACAACAACAAAACATGCAGAAAAACACTGTGTTGTTGAGGAAAGCATGATGAGCCAATATTTCTCCTTACATGCCATTCTATAAAGACATCTAGGATGACAGAGGAGGCAGAGTGTTTGTTTTTCTAGATCTGGAGAAGAGTTGAGTAGGTCAGCTATAATTTAAATATATACATATATTTAAAAAGAAAAAAAAACAAAAACAAAAAAACACAACACAAATAAGCAAACCTGCACCAAAAAATAAAGATGCAGCAAAGTGTGTTGTGGCAAGATCAGGTATCATGTACTGTAAGTAGACTTCAGATGAAGTCTCTATCAAAACCACACAAGATGAGTAATAAAGGCATTCAGAGTGAGATGAAATTAAACGTGTTCCTTAGGAATATAGTAATTCTGTTGAAGAAAGGCTTAAATTTGTATTTTGGGCCCAACTGGTCCTTAATTTCATGAGTGAACACCCCTGGTTCCAGAGGTAAGTCCTGGTTAATGCAAATTAAAGATGACTGTTCAACCTGAGGAATTTCAACATGAATTAAGAGCAGTGCAAATGACATCCTTAATTACACCAGACAGTAAAAATAGCCCAGGTGTCTTTTCTCAAGTGTGTAGTGAAGATCTCACTTTCCTTCACTGGTGGCTCTAGCAGCTTATCATGCTCATTATTAAAACTGTAGTCTGATTTTTATTTAAATTTCATTTTTATTCGTATCTCAGCTATCCTGTCATCGGGTTTTTATCTTCTAACTTCAAGGATCTCTAAAGAAGAACACCACTGAAACCACTGAAACATGAAACCAGGTTTGTTGGACAAATTTTTTTTTTTTTTTTTTTTTTTTTTTTTTGAGTGATAATGCTTTTTCTTTTCCTCTTCTTTATTTGCCTTTTATTTTTCATTTGCTTTCCCAACTTTTCTGCTCAATAACAGTATCCTGAGCTGTCTATAATTTTGCAGGTCATCATAATAATCCTTTTTAAGTAGCAATAAATTATCTGCTAGTTTCCAGTTTTCTATATATTTTCTCTTAGATTTCTTCTTAGATTCTCTTAGATTTAATAGTAATTAAAAATTATGTATCAGTGAGCCAACTCCTTAAAGAGCCCTGATTATGAATTTTCAAGACTGCTGACACACAGAGATTCCTCTTGAGCTGTCTCAGTGCAAAGCAATCACTTTACACATTCCAGCTGTGTCTATAAACCACAACTGAGCATACAGAATAATACTGCTTAAATAGTTGATGTTCATAACGTTTAAAACTACAAAAGGCCCATTTCTCTGATGATCTCTACCATGTGTTTTTTGTTACATCTAATAAAAATGGTTGTAAAATGTTTGTATTAAGTGGGAAATTTTGCTTTAGCAATTATCTGCACAACAGACTTGTGCTGAGGGATGTATGCTGCTCAGAGACACAGCACTTTCTGAAGAGAACTATGCATTAGGTAAAGCTTCTGGCTTGGACACAATCACGTTTTTAACAATTTCTCCTAACCTGCCCAAGCAGACACTCTGAGAACACAGCTGTCCAGAATAAAGTTCTTACTGGAAAAGCTATGTAAGAACAATCTTTTTTCTGAGTCTAAGATGCGCTTGTATTAAAATACTTAGCTAGACTAACACAGTTAGTAATTCTATCTAGGCACGGTTAGTAGATACGTGACCTTGGCAGTGTGTTCCTCATGCTGTACAAATGTAAATCATCATGTAGCCTACAAGGTTCTGGAGAATGAAGTCCGCTCGCTCCAAAACACTGCTATTCAAAACAAAATACCACTCTCACAATTGCTATCTGTATACTAAAAGTTTTTCATGCATTCTAAGCATCAAACATGAATTCATTAAAATTATCAAAGACCACGAAGAACTTTGTGTTTTTTTAGTGATTGCTGCACCAGTACAACAAAACCAAATTATTAAGACTTCAATAAGTATAGACAACATAGAACAGAAATAGGAGATGATCAGATGAAGGAAAATATGTCAGTTCCCAAACCCTGAAATATTGTGTAGTCACTTGTGAACTGAAAGGCAGCCAGACATTCCTACCTTAGAAGATTCCTGTTAGCAGTAATGAATGCTATCAGAATTCATAGCATTTTGCCTACCAGACGAATGCCTCGAACCTGAAAAAATTATATTGTTTTTCACGTTCCATTACAAAGAAATAAAGCTGCAACCTCAATTAATAAACAACTCAATAATATTTTATGCAGGGAGAGCTGACCTCAGGGGATGCTGTGGAAGACAACTGAAACCACAGTCACTGTTATTAAATAAGCTCCATTAAACACTTGTTTTGGGAACTTTGCACAGGGAATAGTTACTGAATCAATACTCCTTCTCAGTATAATGGACCTTAGAACGTTGGGTGGCTGTCAGTATGAGGTACAAAAGGGAAGTCCTAAGCATTTATGATCACAGAAAAATATGTTAATATCATTTCAGAAAAGCATTATTTTGTGTATAATTAACAAATACACAATTGTGATCAATGAACATCCAACATGCACCTATCTGTATTTGATAAGAACCTCTTTACTTTCTGTTCTCAATTTAAAGCTGTCTGGAATTCTTTCAGGAAGGATCTGTTCTTTTATATAATACAAAGATATGTTCATAATTGCATTTGAAAGCCAACTGAAAACTTATGTTAAAACACTGA